TCCCACTCAACCAATATTTGTTCATGGTTAAATCCCATTGAAAATCCCATAATTAGCACCTCCCATTTTCCCGTAAATCCCATGCTTCCCAGTGAAAAATCCCCAGATTCGCGAACATCCATCAGTTCCACCATCCTCTGATAATTTTAACTATAGCTATTGCTATATATTGAAAATGGCACATTGAGTTCGTTGATTTACCTGATTTACCGAACTTACCCTCTGGTAATTTAACGTAGCTATTGAAAATGGCCATTTATAGTGGATTTTCCCATTAAAAATTGTGATTTTCCATAGCTATGTTAGTTTACCAGAGGGTAAAGATGGTGATTGTCCAGTTCGCAACCTGTAAACGTTCGAGGCTAAACCAAGCGCCCCGTCAGATGGCCTCCGGACGCGCCTTCGAAGGCACCGCGACAGCCACGCCGTGCCGTCGGCGCTGCAACAGTTCGCGCCTCGGCCATGGCTGCCATGGCCCAGTTCGCAATATCCATGGGAGAAATCCCATCTAATCTGTCATTGGATTGGTTTAATGGTAAATTTTACCATATTTACCAGGGTTTCTGTAAATAACCAGGGTTTTTACCATTAAATATCGGGTTTAAGGGAAAATTTTAACAGAAACCCCCAATGGTAAATGGTAAAAACTCCCTGGTGTCCTGTAGAGTTGCCCGAAAAAAACCAAATGCAGAAATGGGTAGAAATGGGATATGTATGATATGTGGATATGATATGCTAGTTGTTGTTAATCCACAACGGGGATAGCCATTGGAGTGGTGAAACCAGGAAAAATTGCAACTGGCGGGATCTTACATGATTTTTCCATGAAATATTTGCTTTTCCTGTGCATTTTGAAATAAACAAACTCTAAGAGTATAATAGCCTGATTGTTTTGGCTGATGTTGTGGAAGACAAAAAATTGAAACACCTGATATATAAATCAATGGGCATCACCTGATCTAAGAACAACTACAATGTGGGGCCCCCGTTCGATAGCTAAGTTGGTGAACATAACTCCAATAACTATGGTTTATGGTACGCAAATAACTATAGTATTCATGGGGTTTATAAACCAACTTAGCTATCTTGGGGGCCCCACATTGCATCTAGTGGATTGTCATTCCATGGGGATTCCAAGATTATCAGGCCCACGCCATCGCCATGACATCCATGGTCTTTTTTCAGCATTTTTCAGAATGGTTTCTCCACTGAATGGCCGGCCCCAAAAAAGAACTTTTCAATGTACTCTCTGGTTATGACTAACAGTTTGCCATGGTATAGATGGCCCATAGAAATAGATGGTTTACCTGGCTTTACCTATTAAAAATGGTGATTTTCCATGGCTATGTTAAATAAGCAGAGGGTATATAAATTGTATCTCAGTCAGTACTGGTTCACTGGCTCCTTGGGCAAATGGTTTCTGAAACGCGGGGGTATGGTGATTCAATCAAATTTGGTGCCAAAGTATATTTTGAGCCATTGCATAATACCAGAATTGATTTATAAAGGGAGCGCCTGAACTGAAAACGCCATGTGTTGTCGTAAAACAAACTTCTTCCAGTAAATATGGCCTTAAATCAATCCATTTCTTCATAGAAGTGGTTATAATGTGGTTATATACCACATTATGCAACTGATCTGGGTGGTGGTTTCAACATGTTTCAACTCTGCTGATATGAAAGCCATCCCAATGTGGTGGTTGTTTGATCCCAATCTTTGTGGCCGACGGTAGCATTAACCAGGCATCGGTCAAGTCATGAATCCATATGAATCCTAAACTCGTCCGTGTTTCATTGGCTGATTGCCACATATCCTCCGGTAAACAAACAAAAAGCTATTGAAAATGGTGATTTATAGTGGGTTTACCCATTAAAAATTGTGATTTTCCTTAGCTATGTTAGTTTACCAGAGGGTAAATCAGAGCTTCAACAAGACCTACGAGTTTTTGTTTCCCTCTCACTCGTTGAAGGTGCTGGAGATTCCAAGTTGTGAAAGGATAGGCGTGTAAATGTCATACAAGGTAGCATTGAATCAACAAGACGACTACAACCAGTTGCTTATTGAAAAACATCAAAAAAACAATGCAACACCATCAACCAGTTGTATATTGAATTATCGCTTACATCCGAGTTCTTGTGGGGCAAGAAAAATGGCAAAAACCATACTTGAAACATCCTGTTGATGGTTCTTTCCCTCCAACTGCTGGCCAACACAATTTCCTCATGTCATTCTCATTTCAGGATAAATTTGGCCAATCTTAAACCAAGAACTACCATCTGGTAAACTAACATAACTATGGAACATCATCATTTTTAACGGGTGAATCAACTATTTCGACTGGGCCATGTTCAATAGCTATGTGACAAATTACCAGAGGGTATGGTATCAAAGCCATTCAACAACCAGCAGACTTTGGTCAGACTTTGATGAAAACACCCAGCAGTTTTTTCGGCTTCCCGGCTCTTGTACCTGAGCCTTACCTCAGGTCAGGGATGATACACATTTGGTGTATGGCCTTGGGGAAAACACATAAATATATATATATATATCCATCTATCTATCTATCTATCTACATAGAATATCTATACATATGGAATAATGATGAATATAATATATTACACAATATATCATTACATCTTATAGACTCATCTGATATATATATATATATATATATGTATATATACATACATATAAATTATCATGAAATCATTCGATAAGATGTAACAGTACTAATGTTATCCAAGATTCTATAACAGTTCATACTCAAGTAATGCACATCTCTCTATATAGAAATAGTCAGGGTTCATCGATCATCATTTTTCCTATTGAGATAGCCCATGATCGAACACCACATAGAGGATGAAAACTCAAAAAATGATCTTGAAAAAAGATGAAAAAAGCACCGGCTAGATCTCATGGGGAATCTTTGGGCCCAGCTTTCTACCATCTTGTCTCCGCACTACACAGTGACCACGAATGGCTACTCTTGTTTTACACTTGCCTACGCCACTGCAAAGCCGTCAGGCAACCTCCATTCAGTCGGTGAATATCCAGATTTCTGGTTTCAAGCTGCTTCAAGCAGTTCGTGTTTTGGAGGATTGTACTTGGTGAAGAGAATCCCAATAGATTACTGTCTCGAAAGGTGTGAAAACCGATCCACATGTGCAAAATGTTCCAACTTGTAATTAGCTGGACTGGCTAGCCATCTTGTCTTGCTTATTTGTGGGAGAGCAGCAGCAATGCACAATAAATGCCCAAAACCCCCACTACTCATTGATGTCACGACATGGTTTATCCAGCTTGTCACAAGTATATCCCCAAAATATCCCATCGTACCACCATGTTCATTGGTCCCATCATGATCATCATGTCAGATTATGTTACATGTTAAATTTGCTAAGACATGTTCAGGCATGTCAAAACATCTTAAATCGTCTGAAATCATCGTACATCATGTTAGATCATGCAAAACATCAATCTTAAATCTAACATGATGTAAATACTCAATCAAGATGATGTTTTACACTAACTTGATTGAGCATGATTTAACATGATCTAACATTGATCAGTCATGTTAAAACGTCATGCTCAATCAAGCTAGTGTAAATCCACATGTTCAATGATCCCACCACTGCAGAGGAGTTTTTTCCCCGTCGCTGTCCCGTGTCTCATCTTTGGAGCTGGGGCCGCTGCTCAAGTGACCTGTTCTCAAGCTGATTCTGGAGATGTGGTTTCAAAAACCGTGCCGAAATTGGAATAAGGTTGTGTATAAATAATCCATTTTAGGATATGTTCTGGTTCATATTATGGAATGTAGCCAAGTAGATATATATATATATATGGATTATGTAAACTGAATTGAAGGATTGTATCCGGGAAAAAAGTGCAGCATATTTCTGTTCCCCAAATGTCGGGAATTTCCTGATCAAAGTTTCCCATCAATCTGTTGGTTGTGACCAAAAAACCAAGGTTGCAGTTGGTTGTAACATAAGTGCATTCGCAAACATGAGTATATTATACGGATCATACGCGTATGCACACATTCAAGCTTGAATTAATATGAATTAATTGTATAATACATTACAAGTGCAAACACAAACATTGTCTTCAAAAAACAACAAAGGGCTACATCAATCACAGCTGGTGTCATGCGCGGCAGTGCTTCACGGAACGAAAAAAACCTACGTTGGACTCTTGCTATCCCAACTCATCCAATGCTGGCATAAAAGGGACTGGGTGAAAGCCTTACCTTCCTGAAATCACACATGGCGAGCTGGGAAATTCCTGAAAATCATTTATAAATATGGGCGACCTTGATTTGAACATATTTATAAATATGTTTATTCCCTGAACATCATTTATAAGTGGGACATGTCCGTTGCAATATTTGATTACCAGAAGGTATCCTGGACTGAGGTGTTCACCACGGTAAACCCAAGGATTTCAAATCTATGCTGAGTCTGCAGCTGTGAGAAAATCCACATGATTCACAAGGGTGAAAAAAACACTTTGGGCGATTATTCTCCCTACAAAAAACATCAAAAAAAACAAACTCTCACAGTCAGATCGTGTTAATTTGCCTTGATGGATGATGGTCTGGGTGAAACTGAAGAAACATCAACCGCGTGATTGGCGGTTGAAGCTCCCCTGCTATCAATTTCCAAGGTCCAGCTGGAAAGCTCTGATGACATGCTGCGAAAAACATATCCAAAGATACAACTTAAGCTATCTATCTGGATCATCCACGTAACAAGGTCAAACAAAGACTCAAAGTCTGCCTCTTTTAAGACCATGAAACTTTGGTGTTTCCCCAAATCTGCCAAGCCAAAGACAACAAGGCTGCAGTGTTTCGCTGGCTCTTTGGCCATTCCAACTGCTGAAAAATGGCGCGCCGTGTATAATATATATATATATGTGTGTGTGTTATATATGCGTTATACTCTAAACGCAAAAATCATGGATTACATATAGCATTGTGTAACAATATAAAACCAATACATCCAGCTTGGCATTTCAAACAACGAGACTTTTCTCCAGCTGTCAATCCAGGTCGTAAGAGACCAATGTATGCGGTTGGGCATCCTCATCCAACATGTGCAGCACCCGTGGGTGCTCGTTCACCTTGGCGAATATCGGCGTTTGATGCTGGGACAGGAGTTTCAAGCATTAGAAACAAAGGTGAGAGAGAGAGAGATATATATATGTAATAAATATCAATCTATATTATGTATATTATATGAACATTATATGTAAATATTATAACGTATCATCTATACAATGTATAATGTATGTATATTGTATGATATATTTTTCTATATCATATCTGGTATGATTATCAATGATTATCATGATGATGACATACCCTCCGGTAATTTAACATAGCTATTGAAAATCACAATTGTTAATGGGTAATTCAGCTATTTATATGGCCATGTTCAATAGTTATGTTAGTTTACCAGAGGTTAATGTCCATTCATATCCTAGTATTATCCCATCATCCCGTTATCATCCCTATTTAAGAAAATATATTAAACCATAGTGAATATACGCGCAAACACCCCGATTCGCCCACACCCCTTCTATGCTGTACACTTGGGGATATCAAACGTTAGACTTTACATTCAATTGGGAAGATCAACAAGGGTATTTAGGGAATATAAATTCCCGACCCCCGTTAAACTTTACATTCATTGAAGATCTTCAATAAGGGTTTAGTTCTCTCACTCCCGTTAAACTTCTACATTCATTGAAGATCTTCAATAAGGATTTAATTCTCCCACCCCGTTAAACGTCTACACTCATTGAAGATCTTCAATAAGGGTTTAATTCTCCCACCTCCGTTAAACTTCTACATTCATTGAAGATCTTCAATAAGGGTTTAGGTTAATTCTCCTACCCCCGTTAAACTTCTACATTCATTGAAGATCTTCAATAAGGGTTTGATGATGATGATGATGATGATGGTGATGATGATGATGATGATGATGATGGATGTGTAAGAGACTCGCACAGGTCCCTATGCTGTGCGTGCTGATATAGAACATGAAGTTAGCCATGATGCAAAAAACTCACATTTTTACCACGTTTTCAGCACATACGAAGATGGCCGCCGACAAGCGCGGGCAAATCGAAGTGTTTGGCCGTAAATATATTAAACCATATTGGCCAGGGAAAGTCTAGATTGTCGACCTCAAAGGAACCGTCCATAGTAAACCATATTAAACCATAGTTATCCCATGAAACCGTTGATTCCCCACAGCTGATGTGATTTACGTGGCCATGTTGTGGAACCCACCCGCGAGTTCCAACGTTTCGTCCCAGGTCACGCTCCAAAACTCCAGGGACGCCGGAGGTTTCGGCGTTGCTTTCGGCGGCGCCTGCGCTTCGGTGGGTCGGTCAACCCGGTGTTGGGCAAAGATCGACATAGAAAATGTGGAAAATGGGATATCCCATGAATATCTGATGAATATCCCATGAATATTGGTTTTGCACACACACACACATATATATAATGTATATAGATGTATATAGTATTCATCTGCAAATATTAAAAAATATGAATGCAAATATGGATGCGGATACGGATACACTGGCAAATGTATGCATATACAATCATATATACATATACATACATATCCTATGTCAATGTGTGAAGCTAGAGGTACATGTGCATTGGCATTGATAGTGGATGGACAAGTAGATCGATGAACACGACATCTCCAACTGCAGTGCCTTCTCAGGAAGCGTTTGGCATGACACCTGATACTTGGTACTATCTTGGTACCATGTGGTATACCAGCTGGTAATTTAACATAGCTATATGGAAAATGGACCATTTATAGAGGATTTACCTATTTAACATGATCATTTTCCATAGCAAACTGTTAGTTTACCAGAGGGTATATCCATGAATATCCCAGTATCCCATCAATCCGAATCAATCCCATCATTATCCCATTATCATCCCTATTTAACATCATTATCCCATCATTATCCCAAGGCTTTACCCCAAGGCTTGTCGAAATTTGCGCTGCCACCAGGTGGTCCAGGCCACGCACCTTGGGCTTCTGCCCAAAGAGTTCTTCATCATCGGAACTCTCGACGTCAATGGACCTCTGATATTTTCCTGCTGCGCGGCTGCGCGGTGCGATAACACAAAGCCATTCAGAAACCATGCCAAATAGTAGGGAATTTCTACATCATTGGGACCATTTAGGGGGTCTTTAATATTACTGAGATATACTGAGATGGGATTATTCCAAACTTTGGCTGCATTCCTGTTTTTAGGGTGGTTATAGTAAGATGATTTCCCTGAAACAACCTGAAGCAACGCAGGAGCCAACAAACCAGGGTCGAAAACTGGGCCCTAGATTGCTAGATCGGTGGAATATGTTCACCTGTACAATGGGGGATATGTTGGCCAAATATAGCAATCACATTCAAGGTTCATTATTTTCTGAGGCAAACATAAGCAAAAGTGTTCGATTTCCTTGCCAAACCACAAAACATTTGGGGCCCCATCCAATTGAACATCATTCCCATCGTTTGAAGCCCCCCCCAACTCCAAAAGAAAACGTTCAAAAAAAGTGGTGGACAAACCCACATTTTGGCCAGATGCGGAACTAGTTCCCTTTTACAAACCGGGGGGCCAAGGAAAAATAGCAACGATTCCAAAGATAACTTATACCCACCATCTATGACTATACAAAACACCCTGCCATCCCGACGAGTTGGTTTGAGGGCAGAGCTCCCATCGAGCCACTTCAGTATCCCCGATGGGTAGTGGAGCCATCCATAATAATGGCTTCGGACAATCATTTATCAACTGAAATGAACATCCAAATGTGATGCACACATTCCAATCATTTGTTTGTTTGATGTCATAATTTCACAAATAATTCAACTTTTCATTGAGCTAATCCCAACATATATTACTATTCCAGAATAGATATGGATAATCCGCATTGCTTGATCATGATATAGTATATAATGGGTTTCCATATCTTTTCCCTTTCGTTCGCTCCTGAGAAACCAGAGGTTTCAGTGGTCTTGCTGGCCATACTCCGATTGCTCTTCACATGCCCCATTCGCAGGTCTTCAGCGTTGGAACGCTTCAGCGTCTTCTTTTTGACCTCATGGGAAAGAGGAAACACATTTTTTGGGGAAACCCAGGGGACCCAAAGGACCGCAAATTTGGTTGGCATTTTAAGTGTTAACCTTCTCTATCCTTGTCGTTTTTTGGGGGGGAGGGTTGTGGGGCAGGGCATGTTTGGGCCATGTCCTTCATTTCTTAATAACCAACAGTTGTTCACACAAAATGTTTTGCGTCAGAGGACCCAAAACCGTTCATGCGAATGTTGCCGGCAAAGAGTTTTATCATCATCCAAAGGTAGGCCATGGGCTCTGTATAGATGGCCAATCTTAGAAACTCTGCGAAGGAAAAAACAAAGCAACAACCAAAGAAAATTGAAGCATCCATCCAAGGTTGACTGAGTCATTTTTCCAGATGTTTCCAGCCCCAAAAAGGCCGAAATTATCAACCCCTCAAAACAGATGGCACGGAATGCAACCGCTGTAACTTGACCCATACTCAGTCAACCCACCCTGATGCAATGCCCGCATGATTTCCGCATCAAAAAAAATTACTTTACTTCGTGTGATCCCCACCATGACATTTATACATTTTGTTACTGGCAAATCTTCTGGCATTCTATCTGACATATCTTCTGGCATTCGATCTGGCATTCTATCTGGCATCTCTTCTGGCACTCTAACTGGCATATCTTCTGGCATATGTTCTGGCATATCTTCTGACATATCTTCTGGCATAAGTTCTGGCATTCTATCCGGCATTCTATCTGGCATATTATCTGGCAAATCTTCTGGCATTCTATCTGGCAAACATTCTGGCACTTTATCTGGCATATCTTCTGGCCTTCTATCTGACATCTTATCTGGCATTCTATCTGGCATACCTTCTGGCATTCTATCTGGCATATCTTCTAACATTCTATCTGGCGTATCTTCTGGCACTCTATCTGGCATATCTCATGGCATTTTATCTGGCATATCTTCTGGCATTCTATCTGACATTCTATCTGGCATCTCTTCTGGCATTCTATCTGGCCTTTGATGTCCAGCGGTGCACACTGAGCTGGGCAGGTCCCAGGTTGACGTCCAGCGGTGCACACTGAGCTGGGAAGGTCCCAGGTTGAGGTCCAGCGGTGCACACCGGTGCACACCGAGCTCGGACGTTGGTGAAGAGCTTGGCGAAGAGTTGGCAAGGCAACAGTGGACGTGGAAGTGGAAGAGGAGGGGGAGGAGGCGGACGAGGAGGCGGAGGAGGACGAGGAGGAGGAAGAGGAGGAGGAAGAGGAGGAGGAAGAGGAGAGCTAGTCGAGGAGGAGGAGGAGGAGAAGAACAACTCTGATAAAATCTAACAACCCTCACCTGGCAGCTGGGGAAAAACAAAAAAAAAACACACCAATAACTTAAGTTGACACACATGAATGGATTCCCCAATTCAAATCCTCGAAATGGTGGAAAACAAACCACCACCGAAATCCCGACCAATTTTCCGGGAGGTTTCCCATCATTTCCAGCCGCCAAAAGACCCACTTGGTGCCATGTTGTCGCAACATGCCGTAGAGCGCTAAGAGGCCATCCTTAGGCCTGGGTTCGTGAAACAATCGTTTCGGTGACCGATGTTGGACAAGTTTTGTTGAGGACACATTTGATTATAGACACATATAATATAATATATATATATATATATCTAGAAGGTAACCAAAATTATGGTATTCATTCATAGTCATTCCATGTCACTCCAAAATTATGGTATTCATTCATAGTCATTCCATGTCACTCCAAAATTATGGTATTCATTCATAGTCATTCCAAGGCACTCCCATACAACAAATAAGGCTATGTATCAGTTATAATTCCTACATTCGTGGGTTCCTGTGGTTTGTAAAAGCTCATCTGGAAGGGTGCTGTAAATCCAAAAACCCGGTAAAACCCAACAGACCCAGTGCATGTCTATATTCAATCATCGTTATTAATGGGTGATGTGAAAATTTGTAATGCCTTAAAATCATTGTATTCCCATATGGTGATTAATCATCAGTAACAAAGCTACTACAATATGGAACTTAACCATCATTAACCGTCATTACATAACCGAATCGTCAACCTTACTGACAGCCCATCACCAGATCGTAATTCACGACTAGTTATATCATCCCACACTATATCCCCATAGAATCTCAATATTAGTTGGAATACCCTCCGGTAAGCAAACATGGATGCGTGGGAAATCCCTTTGTTACTGTATAGTATCGAACTAAATAAATCTAAACAGGTGATTTTCCAGCAAACCATGTGGCGGCTAGAACCAACCGCAATGCATATTTGTCAATTTGGGTTGGGGATGGGAAAGGGTGGTGTGGGGCGATAACAATCATGTCAATTTGAACACGCATGGACTGTACGGTGTGCAGTTCGGGTGGGGTAAAGGTGGGGTGGGGTGGGGCAATCACGTTCATGTTTCACACACACACACATGTCATGCTACGCTCTGGGATCTTGTCGTGCACTTGCACACACACATGGGACCATGGGATCTTCTCTTGCACTCGCACACGCACACACTCACACACACCCGTCATGCTATGCTCTGCGATCTTCTCTAGTCAAGTGGATGTCCTGGACGTCCACATTCCAAACACGTGCGAACCCGAACCATGGCAAACTTGAAATGACCAATGGGACGAAAAATTGACTAATTACTCAACATGACCATTCGGAAACTCTGATTTATACCTCTGGAATGAACAGAACCAATGCTTTCCCTCAATGAAATACGAGAACTCAAAACTGCCTGTAATTGACTGTTCCAAACGCATTCCAAATCAATTCACCCCCAAAAAAAAGAAAAAACACATCTAGCCCTGGCAACAAATCACGCGTGGGTTTCTATGGACGTGCGCCCTAAAAGTCAAAGCCCTGGCGCACCAGGTACCCTGAAATAGCTGACTAATGGACGTTTATCCCCCCCAAAAATAAGATACTAGTAAATAGGTTTTGACTGACCCATCCCCATGTGTGATTACCGGAGGTTAGTACCTTCAATCTTTTGTCATTCTAATGGGGTGTAACCATCACTCGCCACCAATAAAACCTGGCAAAACCAAAATTCCACCCATATCCCCTTCGCATTCCGTTATATGTTGCTGCTTCAAAACATGATTACGGCCTTTCAGAAATATATTCCCACATTCTACCACCACATAATCCCCATATTAGTTGGTATAATACCATCCCAATACCAAATAGTAATGACCAAGTAGTAATTACCATGTAATCTATCATATACCCTGTACATCCCTGTACATTGTATCACCGTTATCCACCATGGTTGTTGATTAAGTCGCCATTAAATGCACATTCATAATCCCATTTTAGTTGGTTAAATCGCCATTGTTGCCAGTTAAATCGCCAGATTAGTTGGTACAACACCCACGGTACCACCATTCACCCATTCATCATAATCCACTGTTGTTGTTGTTGTTGTCGTTGTCGTTGTCGTTGTCGTTGTCGTCGTTGTGGTTGTTGTTGTTGTCGTTGTCGTTGTCGTTGTCGTTGTCGTTGTTCTTGTTCTTGTTCTTGTTCTTGTTCTTGTTGGTTCTAAACGCATTATATATCCAATGTATCACATATTTGCTCTTAAATCACCAGGTTAGTTGGCAAAAATTGCCATGTTTGTTGGTTAAAAACCACCAGTGTACTCAAATCACCATCAATTTCTTGATTAAACAACCAAATTAGTTGACATCGTGACATTATCCACATTTCTTGTTCAATCACAATTTTTCTTGGCAAAAACAACAAATTTTGTTGGTTAAATCACCATAAATTGTGGTTAAATCTCATCATTGCTTGATTAAATCACAATTTTATTCGCAAAAACCTACCATGTTTGTTGGTTAAAAAAACAACCATTGTGCTTAAATCACCATCAATTCCACATTTTTGTTGGATAAGGAAATATCATTTTTGTTGGCAAAACCTCATTACCACATCGTCCTTTTTCTGTTGCAAGGCGCCTCAAGTCCTGGGTACGTGCCTTGCTGTCCGCCAGCCGCGAGATGCTCGCGCGCGTCGCTGCCACCTACCACGCAAGACTCGGGGGATGGAGCTGTTTTCATCCAGAAATCCACAGCAAAATATGGGAAAACATAGGAAAGATGAGAAAAGATGGGAAAATTAAATGAGATAAAAAGGGCATGTATTCAATTGTACTCATAGGGTTTCCATGGCATTTTGGGATATACATGGATATTCATGGATATTCGGAGACGAAATAGATGAACATTGCGTGAACTTAGCAAACGGCGTAGCATCATTTCTAGCAAATTCAGACGCAACAATTGATGAACAATGGAGATATTTACATTCTTTCGATTATATGGTGAGGCATGGATGCCATACTGTTAGTTTCCACGCTTCAAACTTGCAATGGTAAAGCAAACCGAACCAATGAAACACTTGATATCTTCATTGGTTCAAAATCAAATGCTTGAGGAAAGCAGGCAATCCCCTTCCGAACCCTTCCGGCCAATCAACATCCCCCAATCAATATTGTATTAATACAGAAACTATACAAATTATTCCATTAACACACAACTAAAGATGTCTTAATTCACTATCACTATGCGTCATGCCCGAATATAAGCAACACTATTGTTCTCAATTTGGATCCTGTTGCTTGCTGTTGTTCCTCACCATGTGTTGAAAATCCGATATGATTATTCACTCATGAATCTGAAATACGGCCACTGAAGGGTGATTCCCCTTATTCATCGTTATTTGCCAATATCAAAATGTCCTTTTAATCAATAATTATGTATCAGTTGATTACCAGCCAGTAGTAGACGATTATATAACCAAGATAGCTCAGTAGTAGATCAATACCCTTAGTTCAACCTGTTTGGACACTGGAAGCCGCACCGGGGCACCTCCTGCACTTCCCCGCGGATCTTGGAACGTTTCTGCATGGGGTTGAGACCGCGCTTCTCCTTAAAGCTGGGACTGCGGAGAGGAACAAAAAAAATGGATTGTTTTACCAAAGATCACCTATGCATGATAGAGTATACTAGATAGCGCTATGGAAATTTCACAGTTTCCTATGGGTAGTAAAAAAAATAAATAGGTCAGGTCAACCATCAAAGTAAATGGTTTCTTTTCCATAGCTTTGTAACAAATGTCTGGAAGGTAATACTGCATCAGTTGGACATGGCGATGGATCAAAGCCTACCATGGGACCACTGGCTTTGTAGCATCTCACTCTACAAGAGCCCTTCTCCCAATTCAACGACTGCTTTTTGGCAACAAACAGCTGCAGGTGCCAGGTCAGGTGGCCACCAGGCCTCTGTCCTGGCACCCATCCAAAACCTCCTATCTCATGGGACAGAACAAATATGCAGCAAATATTCTTTCACTGCCCTTTTTGTGCCACTACCCCATAACTGGGGCGGGCAGGCGGGCGCGAACAAACCAAACTTTGTCTGAGCACCTGCACAGCATAACCTGAAACAAAGTCGCCTGTTTGAATACTGCATACACACATGCACAATCCACCAGGAAGGAACCTTTTGTGTGAGATCATTCGGTGCACATGCGCGCATCTTCCCTGATGATCCCCTACTAACAATATTGTTTTTTAAGTTTGACCTAGAAAAATGGAGGTATGTGGACATATTTGGCAACACAAATTGACCAAATCCATGGTGTGTAGCCACAAAACATGCAAACACAATGTAACGCATATAACCTATATAACTTGATATACATATATATATATATATATAACTTGGGGAGTGCCTTGGCCTCTTTGTCTGTGGAGGCCAGAAACTATTTCTTAAACAAACAAATTTACAGAAACTATTTCCTAAATAAATTCAAATTTGACATATTTTCTAAATAATTTCCTTAAAACTATTTATTAACTTTAAAAAAAAGTAATGTGAGCTAGGCTTCTAGGGATTGGATTGAAACGGTTTGGAACGGTTTTATCGGACTCCTGCCTAGTAAGTAGTATGAAACGGTTTGAAACGGTTTCGGGCAATTTGCTAATTAGCCATACTTGGAGACTATTTGAAGCTATTTGAAACAATTTGAAACTATTTGGTGTTTTTGCCAGGGCGAAGTAGCAAATAGCAGGAGACAGTTTGAAACGGTTTCGGACTATTACCTAGAGAGTAATCGGAAACGGTTTGAAACGGTTTCTGTGATACCCTTATTCTGCTTCAAATCATCAAACGAGGCAATACACTAATAATGACAAATAAAACTCAAGTTGACAAATATAGACGTAGATGATGATATAGTATGAAAATGTATGAAACCTGTTTACAGATTGAATAGTAAGAAAGTAGCAGTGCCTGATTCTGAGATGAGGAGTCCATGAACACAGAACGAAAGAGAATGAAGAACGCCTGCACCAACAGCCTGGCAGCCTTTCTCTCTTGGTAGAACATGGTTCACTTGTGTGGGGCAATCTCTGGACTTCAAGTGATTGACTGCTATCCTTGTCCAATTGCTGGGATTGGTAAAAGCAAACTGGTGGAGAAAATAGATTCTAGTTTGGGGCCCAGTTTAAGACATAGTTTCCAGGATTTAAGCAATAGCTTCCAGGATTTAAGCAATAGCTTCCAGGATTTAAGAAATAGTTTCTAGAATTTAAGAAGAAGTTTCTACAATTTAAGAAATAGTTTCCAGGATTTAAAAAATATTTGCTAGGATTTAGGAAATAGTTTCTTTTCATATTTAATATTTACATCTTAGGAGGGTTAAGCTGGTAGGCTCCCGAAGAAACCGGGCTCCACATGCTCCCCCGGCAGACCCGGACAGATAGAGGAAAAGTTCAAGCACACACCAGTCCCGACTTTCGGGGGAAATCCCTGAGTTGGGTATCCCCTGAGGTGTCAAAATGCCGTGTGGCAAAACCCGGCTAACAACATCCCCCAACTCACCCGCAAAGGCTATCAGCTACATGGGATCTGTTTGGGGAACATATTTTTTGGGATCCTACAACTTGTGGGTATAGCGTGCGGAAGTATTCGCGGTGTTGTATGGCGCATTTGGAACAAAGTGCGTTGGGCACAGAGTATGCCATGCTTTTGTTGCTGTTTAATACACCCTTTCCTGGATTGAAAAAGCATTACAACTGGAAGCTCCAATATTGAATAGGTTTACCCTATTAAGATGGTCAATAACAGATTCAATAACATCTTTTACTTGCAACTATTACCCCTTGATTAAAGTAATGGCCCCTGGTAAATCAACATGATTTAGCACATGGTTTCTACATTTTTGACTTTGCTTAGCAATTGGTTTTACATATTCTACTTATCTAGCAAAGGGTTTCTAGTATTTGGCAAACAGTTTCTAGTATTTAGCAAATGGTTTCTAGTATTTAGCAAATGGTTTCTAGTATTTAGCAAATGGCTTCAAGTATTTGGCAAATGGTTTCTACATGTTCAAGGAATAGTTTCCGGATTTTACGGAAATTGCAAATAAAGAAGCAAACGCACGTCTCAATATATAACCGCAAATTCCATGTAACCAATTCACAAAAGGCAAACGACCTGCTTCACTCTGGCTGGCCATGTTCAAAAATTGATTCGATCCGTACTTTTTCTGTTTAGTTGGTGACTGCTTTCTCGCCACCCTATTGATAGATATTGATAGTACATTCAACTAGCTTGGGATGACAAATTAAGTTGCCAAAACGGCAACTAAAGATGGAACACAAAAACCGGGTCATGTTGCAAAACTGCAGGCTTTTCCCCCAAACAGGGATCAAAATTGCCGCTGTTGCCGAGTTTCCGCCCAAGGGTTGCGGGTCTCATCTTGATGCTTCAGTTTTCGACCGATCAATTTCCTCGGAGGATTGGAGAGAGTAGTGGAATCTGGGCTCCGGCTTAGTGTGGGTTATGGGTCCAAATGTTCGGCCAAAATTAGATGGCTTATTGCTGAAATATATTGAAATTGTGAATTGATTATATCCTGGCAGGAACCCCTTGAGAAGTTTCAAGCCTCTCCAAGCTGTATCCCTGGAAGTCACCCAGGCTTCTGGATAACGAAGCCAAGTTCAAATGATGGTTGGGCATCTGAATACAAAGCCACACCTTAGCTGGATATTAGAGCTGGTAAAAGCACTAGAATAGTTGTATAGAAAACAAAACTAAACAATCAGTATGGCCTGAGCATATTCAAGAATGCGATATGAAGAAATTCCAGATCAAACGCAATGCAAATATAAGGGAATCACCCTCATGACATTCATCATCATGATCATCATCAGCAGCATCCTCGCCGTCATCGTCGTTGGACTATAAATGATAAAACAAAAAGGGAACACACCAACATAAACAAGTACACAGTTGTTCCTCAAACAGGCCCTTACCATCAAAAAAAATCACCAAAGAGACAAACATCAAATCCAAACCAGTTGGAAGTTTCAATTGATCACACACATACCAAAAGTCGCAGGATCATTATCCCATGTGGCTTAAACTACGTCCCCACGTCGCAGCTTTGCCAGGCGTCTTGATGCCAAAGCAGATGGCACCGAAGAAGAGCAGCGGCAAAGGTACGGCCAGTAACAGCGCGATAGCGTCATCCCCTTCTCGCGGAGGGTTATCTTCCGGTCGGGTGACGTACTGAAACTCCTTGCTATCCTCAGGCGAAACTGTGGATAATAGGTGAAACGACAAATGAAGAGTTAAATACGGATTTAAAGACGCAGAGAGAGAGAGAGAGAGATAGGGGAAGGAGAAAGAGAGAGAGAGAGAGAACAGAGAGAGAGAGAGAGAAGGGAGAGAGAGAAAGAGAAGGAGCCTCACTTGTTTGCAGCTGCTGTATTGTGATGTAGTGAACTTTAAATCTTGAAGACCCAACCAAGTAGATAACAGGGGTCATCTGCCCTCTGAACAAAACACAAAACGCTTAGAACATACAGAACATACAGAACATACAGAACATACAGAACATACAGAACATACAGAACATACAGTACATACAGTACATACAGAACATACAGAACATGCAGTACCCTCTGGTAAACTAACATAGCTATGGAAAATCACCATTTTTGATAGGGAAAGCACCTATAAATGGTCATTTCCAGTAGCTATGTTAAATTACCAGAGGGTACATACAGAACATACAGAACATACAGAACATACAGAACATACAGTACATACAGTACATACAGTACATACAGTACATACAGTACATACATACCAGTTAATGTCAAGATAGCCTGCAATAGCTAGCGAGATTTCCAACATCCAACATCCAGAAATCCATAGAACTCACCGGAGCCGAGCATCTCCGATCCTCAGAGCTCCACCTGGCACATCAAAGGGACCTTCTTCTGTACAGCTGCCGTTGTTGTATGGTGCATGGCACCAACACAAGGCATAGATTCCTGGGCTAAAAAAAAGGGGAGTTCCAGCATGCTGGGCCTTTGGGAGATCATGTTTCCAGCTGCTGCGGAACGGGGACTCTTCAACTTGCTATTCAGAGGCATGCCTTCCGATTCAAAGTCATTTGATACCGTTTCATTGCATCCTCTCGTTTCGGAAGGCTATTGTATGCTACTGTGTGATATTCATCAATATTCAAGTTCGGAACATCTTCCAGGCATTTCCAGACCCTCGACTGTTGGGCTGATCAGAACATACCATTGAAGGACGCCTCTGGGTCACAATCCGTGAATCCATATGCGCAATCCATTGGTTTCTGCGCACGGTCTACCCTCCGGTCATTGGATTTCCAATTGCGAGGTTTGATTACTAATGGGTAGATTATATGGTAGATTAATATCTATATTATGTATATATATATATATACATTCAATCTACGGCAATCTTGTGTGCTTTTTTGTGACTTTAATTACCCGTCTGTGTATGGGTCAAAACTGGTACCCGAAGGATTGTTGGATGGTTAATATCTATTTGAACACAAATCTTTGCTCCCCTGGGGTTTGATTCTTGGTCAGTACCAAAACATTATCCTGTTGAATGATACTAGCGGCTACTAGCATCTTAACGAGTATTCTTTCTTGGGTTGTAGCTATCCCTGTTCAATCAACCATGTGGTAGAAAAACTATAATCATCGCTTCCATTACCAACCACAATGGCTATAGTTAATCCCTTTCCCCTACAACCAAACTCGCCCAAGCGAAACCCTGGTTTGACCATTGAGTATTGGCTTTCTTCATTGTCGCGTCCCAATAATTATCTTTTCTTTTGCGAAAAGGAGTTACTATGGGTAAAACAATTTCATAAACCATCCCGCAGTCATCACCATAAATACGATAAATATATAGGTGGCATAAATCATTCCCAGTCATGGGTGGTTTGTTATTGTTTTACCTACATTAATCTCATCCCAGTCCCAACATCTCCGGCTCCGAGGTACCAGTCGGAACCCGGACCAGGCCAGATCCCCAAGTGAAATGCTTCCCGCTGCTCGTTGCTGGCAGCGAGACAGCACCTGGGACAGATTCAGCAGCTTGACACCTGGAAATGGGGAAAATATGGGAAAATCACATCCACAACAACCTGTTGGCGGATGGTTTCGTACATGTTCCAGGTTGTTTAATGGGATATATTGAGATTTAAGGAGGACTTATGGGCCCCAATGGAGAATGAATAGTAACTAGCAACTCCAAAATGGATAGGACAAATAGAACCCCGGGAATTGTGGAGGAATCATCATCTAGAAGATCGTGTAACTGTTCTATCTTTTTTGTAGACCCCTATGCTATTACATTTTTGGGGGGGATTATTGGGACGTATGCGATGATATTGGAGGAAAAACCGTCCCATCATCAGGCAAGGGCACCTCTCCCAAAAGAGTGAACAGTGAACATTGTATTTGACCTGTTCGAGGTGTGGTCCCCGCAAAAATCGGGTTTGATATCTAGTGTGTGCGGTGTGTGTATATATATATATGTGTGTGTGTGTATGTATATGAAATATACAGATACATATACATATAATCAGATATGCGTGTATACATTTGCGTGTATATGCATATGTATGTATATGCATATATATATATATACAATATGTTGTGCATGTGCCCGGTAGCGCCTGTATTAGAGGGCTACTTATTCCAATCCAATAAATATATATATATATTATTATAGCAACTATTATATTGATTGTATTGGGGATAAATGTATATGTATATGCAAATGGATATAAATATACCATCAGCGTGAAACAAGAAACAAATATAATACGGAAATTTCATGAATTTCAAACAACCAACACTAATATGGGAAGACTATTGAACAACCCGGGATGACTGCATATTCTTGTATGTTCATGTATGTTACATACCCTCTGGCAATTTAACATAGCTATTGAACATCGCCATTTTATGAGGTAAATGATCTATAAAAGATCCATGTTCAATAACTAGTATGAAGAATGTATATATATGGAAGATATGTCGTCAGTAAATATATATAGATATAACTATGTTAAGTTACCAAAAGACATGTCATATATGAACATATATGACAGGATTATCGCCGACCAGGACACCATTTGGAAACCCAACCTGCGGCTCAGGGCCACCTGCCACAGTGGCTGCAAGTTGATGAACCTTTCTCTCAAAGAAAAGGGAGAAAGCAACAAAAACCACGGATTGATGAGAGATTCTGTCTCTTGAAAAAAGAAGAACTAAGAAAAACATGTGATTTGTGGCTCTTTCAGCCATTAGGAGGTATACCGATAAACAATGAGCTATGTAAAAGAGATTAAAAGAGAAGTGTCGTAGAACGAGTCAGTAGTCATAGGGCTCATCAAAAAATCCGCGGGGCTAGTGGTTGAAGGGACACTTCGCTGGAAACCCCCTATATTTGACTGGTAAACACCATGGTTTCAACTTTCCACCGTAGATTTTTGCTTCAACAAATCGAAAAGTTTCCTTCAGAGCCATCGATCCACTGGCACAGGATTGCGGGATCCAATTCCGATCCTACAACTTCAATCCTTACTTGGGAGTGCAGTTCCATTGAAATATCTTAGATTGTATTTCAATCATAGTTTAGCATACCATTAATTATAGCCCAGTTCTGGCATATCTCCAGTTTTATATATATATAATGTTATCTATGGGTTGTAGACCACTTATACTAACATTTACTAACTGGGATGCACATCGACGTATGAAGAGAAAAGTTCAGAAGCCCCGGCTGGTTTCTCGTCACACGTGGGAACTTTTCACGGGAGTCATGGATGGGAGTCCTGGCAGTAGCAATGTTGGTATAACACATAGTAACAAATATCAAATATGGCATATTAAAAATGGGCATATTATATGGCATCAAAATTCATAAAAACACAAATATTGGTTAACATCTCAACAAATATTAACACATATCAACATATATTAATATAGATTAATTAGCACATATTAATATCAACATATTAATGGGGGCATCATGACCATGCCCGGACTCATGGGAAAACCAAGCCATCGCCGTGCCTAAACAATCCGTGCCATCTGCCACGACCATCAAGCGATCCCCATCAGACAGCAGCTGTCCTGGAGCCGCTGGAGCCCTGTGTCACACTTTGGGGTGAAGTTCTTGGCTATCCTCTGGTAAACATACAAAAAACTATAGAAAATCACCATTTTCAATGGGAAAATCCACTATAAATAGGCCATTTTCTATAGCTATGTTAGTTTACTGGAGGGTAACTTGTGGCTTCCAAAACACTTTCAGAACAAAATCATCTTCCGAACTTTCCAAACACATTGGTTGTGTTGATTTGTTTGATTTAGGTGATGAAACACATTGGTTGGGTTTTGGTGAACTTTCCAAACACATGTGGCTTCCGAACTTCTAAACTTTGTGGCTTTTTCGGGTGATTTGTTGGGCTTGCATTGGTCGGGTTTCAGTTTTTAAGGATTTTTAAGGGGTCTTATGTTCCTGACACACCTTCCCCCCGGACATGCAACATGGAACGTCAACATTTTCTCGCGAGGCGATGGGCAGTGACGGGCACTTTACGCAATGAACATGGACCGGAAAGTCACCATTTTCAATGGGAAAATCCACTATAAATGGTCATTTTTCAATAGCTATGTTAAATTACCAGAGGGTAATTTATACATCTGTAATTTATCATCTTTGCCTCATGCTGTGTTGGTTATCGCCCTAAGTACTGACAAACATGTATATACAGTAAATACATAATATATATATATATATATGTCTGTACATATATAGAGCCACGCGATTGCAATGTCACCCTTATCCAACATTTTAACATACAGAATAAGACACTGCGTGTTCACCAAATAACATGTATTTCTAGGGATAGACTTGTTCCATTCTGTTCAAATGTTGTTTTGGTAGTGGTTGCATTCCCCTTGCAAATAAAGCAGTTCACCTTGAAGATGCAGCTTCAATGCGTCCTAGATTCTACAAATCATAGACACAAAACCACAAGATTCCTGTTTATCCATCATGTTCTTTGAAGTACTATCGCAGCACAGTGCGTGCTACCACCCTGGTCTGGCTAGCCCCACCATCCATGCCATGAAAAAAGAAGTTGAAGGTGGTAAAACAAATTGGTACCTATAGACGCACACACACACGCATGAACACGCACGGACGCATATATATATATATAATACACTGTATATATATATGCCCGTATTAATACAATGTTACATATACATATATATATATATACTTATATATACTTACACAGCACAGCAGCATTTGTTGATGTTTCAACTCACGGCCATCGGTCCTTCCAAGTCCTCAATGGAGCACGGCTCCCATTCGAAACAGCGATAGGTCACCGAATCATCGGGGCCTCCAATGGTAAGCCTGGCCGTGATTTTGGGCACATCTACATATCCAATGGTTAATTGACATGGGATAATGATGGTTAATAGTGGTTAATAGTGGTTAATAGTGGTTAATAGTGGTTAATAGTGGTTAATAGTGGTTAATAGTGGATAATAGTGGTTAATAGTGGTTTAATAGTGGTTTAATAGTGGTTTAATAGTGGTTAATAGTGGTTAATAGTGGTTAATAGTGGTTTAATAGTGGTTTAATAGTGGTTTAATAGTGGTTAATAGTGGTTAATAGTGGTTAATAGTGGTTAATAGTGGTTAATAGTGGATAATGATGGTTAATAGTGGTTAATAGTGGTTAATAGTGGTTAATAGTGGTTAATAGTGGTTAATAGTGGTTAATAGTGGATAATAGTGGTTAATAGTGGTTTAATAGTGGTTTAATAGTGGTTTAATAGTGGTTAATAGTGGTTAATAGTGGTTAATAGTGGTTAATAGTGGTTAATAGTGGATAAGTGGTTAATAGTGGTTAATAGTGGTTTAATAGTGGTTAATAGTGGTTAATAGTCGTTAATAGTGGGTTAATAGTGGTTAATAGTGGTTAATAGTGGATAATAGTGGTTTAATAATGGTTTAATAGTGGTTTAATAGTGGTTAATAGTCGTTAATAGTGGTTAATAGTGGTTAATAGTGGTTAATAGTGGTTAATAGTGGATAATAGTGGTTTAATAATGGTTTAATAGTGGTTTAATAGTGGTTAATAGTCGTTAATAGTGGTTAATAGTGGTTAATAGTGGATAATAGTGGTTTAATAATGGTTTAATAGTGGTTTAATAGTGGTTTAATAGTGGTTAATAGTGGTTAATAGTGGTTTAATAGTGGATAATAGTGGATAATGATGGTTAATAGTGGTTAATACTGGGATATGAATAATATATACCATATAAAACCCTATCTGGTTGGTGGTGCAGTAACCATCTTGAAAAATATGAAAGTCGACGGGAAGGATGACATCCCACATATGAAATGGAAAATTAAAATATGTTTGAAACCACCAACCAGTTGAGGAATTTTAAGGGGGTCTCTAGCTTCCAATTTGTAATTAACAGCAATATGTTAGCCACTGTTAGCCATCCCCAGCTCCGTCCATTCATGAATATATCCCTCTGTTAGATCTCAAGGAAGACAAATCTGCATGCTTATGTTTTTTCATATGTGTCATGGTCAAAACGTATCAAAACGTTGTTTTTGTGTGTTTTTTTGTCACCCATCCCATCATGGGAATCCCATCATGGGAGTGACTGAATCCCCAGTGATGGATTGATGACAATCCTCAGGCCGTGGGAATGGATCCGTTGCGACCTGGTCAGCCTCTAGAATTCTGTCTTGAAATGGCTGTAGAAATATTAACATTCAATTTTTGGATATCTCCACTCATACAAAACATAATATATATATATAAGATCTAAGCATTTCTTTAGGCAAATCGTTGATTTGTCATAGGATTCTGCGGCTCACTGCGGCTCTGCTAATTGGTTCTCCTTATTTTTTTCTGCCAGAGCCCACCTCCCCAGCGTCACGGAGTAGTCCACAGAGTTTAAACACAGCTGCTCCGCGGCACACCAACAGATCTGATATTTCCCAGCCCGTTCCTGGGCTCGGCTGGGCTCCGGGGACGGCTATTAAAAGGTGACTTTATATGGGATCGAAGAAACACAGCTCAAGAGACATGGTGCATGAGAATATCATGGGATTAATCTTGAGATTTGTGTATCTAAAGGATCAGATCCTTGATTTATATTGATTTATGGCCTATTACCGTTAATCGAACCCAGATATAACATTTATTACCCACGGACTCAATGCCTGAGATGCACCCCCAAGTTTGTTCAGCAGTCCCAAAAAGAAACTAAAGAAACTTTTGCCAAACATGGAACCAGTACAGGAGAACTGCCTATTAAATGTCTTACACACACAAACATATATATATATATATACATATAATCGTATATATATATACATATTAGCAAATTTATTGACTTTAACTCATCTGTAAACATCTAAAAACAATGACATAGAGTCATCCCAAAGGGTGTTGGAAATAATAGCTATGCTGCTGAAAGCAACAAACACATTCTATTGTGCGATGGAACAACACGATATTCGAAAGGACCAACCGGGCAGGTATCACATTAGACTATCAGTACTGTGGTGAACCCAATAATAAACATCCCATCACTGCATTACACCCATGGTGGTAGAAATTCACACAAACTTCTCAGCTTGGTCTTGGTTGCTAGATCTATCATCAGGTGAGTCGTCCATAGTGTCTGAAAGCTTTATTTCCACCTGGCAATGAAGAACATCCATGAAAACCAGACACTTGGTTCGATGACTTCATTATAACGCTCGTATTTACAGAGAAAAAGTCAGGAAGTCAGTCAGTTTCCCAGTTTCGTTCGTTCGAATTTTTCCCATGACAGTTCCATAAATTCAGTACGGTACTTCCGTCATCTTCCGTCATCTTCCGTCGCCACCAAGCAGCTCCTGCTGGGATTGTAAAGGATCCGCCATGGTCAAAGGTTGCCAGGGAACCTGGTCCAATGGGACGATCAAAAACCGCCAGAAAGGGCCGCCGAGATATCTTAAAGGCCAACCTTTTTTCGTTCGCCATGTGAAATCTTTGGTAAATCATGATTAATATGAATAATATTTGATAGATATGGATTAGATATTGATAGCTATTGATAGTGGTTTAATATGTTTGATAAGGCTTAACCAACCAAGGATTTGGGAAGTAATAGGCCTTGGGCACTCCCTGGCACTTGAAAAAAAAAAATCCACCCATCCTGCGCACCGCACCTGCGCCACTGGGAAAGGTTTCGAGATCGAACACAGCATCACCACATTTGGTCAAAACCATCACCCTGTCACCATCATTGAGACCCTCACCTGGGCGATGGAAATCATGGCCAAATCACATCAGCTGTGGGGAATCAATGGTTTCATGGGTTTACTATGGTTTAATATTGGGGAACACTATGGACGGTTCCTTTGAGATCTGAGACAATCTAGACTTTGCCTGGCTCATATGGTTTTATATATTTACTATGGTTTAATATGTTTTAATAGTCATGACAATGGGATGATGGGATAATACTGGGATCTGAATGGATATCTACCCTCTGGTAACTTAACATAACTATTGGAAATGGACCATTTATAGACTATTTACTATTTACCTAATAAAATGGTGATGTTCAATAGCTATGTTAAATTACCAGAGGATAAGCAAAATATCCAAGATATTTCAAGATAGTCTCCGTTTGACAAATGGAAGATCTATGGACACCATATGGAAATTATTGAACATCGTCATCTAATATAAGAATATGGAATGCTATTCTTCCAGGCAATGCCCTTTTCAGGATATGAGCAATCCCAAGGATGATTATGAAAACAACTGTTTCTGTAGTCTCCAGCTGCCAGGAAAAACAACTTTTTTCGCACCAAACATGTTACGCCATTTTGTTGCGTTAAGCGTCACCTTTCAACGTTTCGTCTTTACAGTTTTGGTCTAAACTCTAAAGATCGGAAAAGTGCTCGAAGGCAGTTTTCCTCGCCATTTGACTCCAAAACAGTGTCTTGTCCAAAACGGCATCAAAAAGGAAACAGGAGGATTACGCGTATACCCATATATAAATATATATATATATGTTATATATATATATAAAGGCGCGTCCATTTCATATATACACACATATGTTTATGTATATATATAATATATATATATATAATTATATATATATGTGCGTGTATATACATATGCCCCAGTCAAAATGGCAAGAAACCACTTAAGTACTGCTAACTTTCTCAGCCTTCAGTGATAGATTTGCATAGATTTACATAGATTTAACATAAATGAACATAGATTTACATATTTCCATATATATATATATACACCACATGTTCCGAACGTTCCCCAGCCTTTTTTTCTTGCGTGGCGCCTGAAATGCCGGAGATGTTGCAGATCTGCTTTAGGGGGCAGAAGAAGGTGATGGGCGAAGCGGTGGGCGCCTTCACCTCTGGCAGCCATGCGATGATCATAGATACCATCTGGTTATGATTAACACAGCCATGGATAATGATGGTTAATAGTGGTTAATAGTGGTTGATACTGGGATATTAATAATATATACCATATAAATATATTATATATATATATTTAAAAAAAAAACTATCTGGTTGGTGGTGCAATAACCATCTTGAAAAATGTATAGGAAAATCACCATGCTATTAATGTCAACCCCGGATGAGACTAAACCATGGTTTATTAATTAGGGGGGTACTCCTCCAATAGTCATAATCTGATACTTAAATGTTATCCCCCCAATTAAACAACCTAGGAGTTTATTAATCCAGGGTTGACATTAATAGGTAAACCATCTATTTCTATGGGCCATCTATACCATGGCGAACTGTTAGTCATAACCAGAGGGTAACCACAATATGAAAGTCAATGGGAAGGATGACATCCCATATATGAGTTGGAAAATAAAAAATGTTCCAAACCACCAACCAGGATAATATTTGACATAGCTATGGTTATGATTAACATAGCCATGGTATAAATGGCCCATAGAAATAGATGGTTTACCGTTCTTAAAAATGGTGGATCTTTCCATGGCTATGTTTATTTACCAGAGGGTAATATATTTCAGAATATCCGGGGTTCATATAGATGATCGCCATTAGTCCTATGATTGTCCCTTTAATATGGATTTATACGGTTTAATAATACGGATGATAATGGGATACGCATAGAACTATGGAAAATTGCCCATTGAGCTCGATGATTTATAATGATTTACCGATTTTTAACATGGGGATTTTCCATAGCTATGTGTAAATTACGGGAGGGTAATAAGTTCAAAGTCAAAATTGCCTGCAACGATTGGTGAGAAAGATTGAATTGTAAATTGAATTGTTAATAGTTAAAATGTAAGTATTGCACGTATTGGTGGATACAAAAAAAAAGAGTATATCTACAGATCCTATTCAAATCCTACTAAACTGGTGAGTAATGCTGTCGGTCGAATCTAATCTATCTATTCATCCATTTATGAGCACTTTATAGCGTGATATATAATTGTTGCATATGCATACATATTATCCATATATATATATATATCCGTATATATCCATATAATTACGTTTAAGATTAAATGTGTCATTGATTGATTCACTTGATTGCTTATGTGTTTATACAATGTCTGATCTTCGTAACCGTGGGTTTAACCAACAAACGTCGGTACATACCCTCTAATCATCTCTCCCGGCAACGGGGATTCCTTTCATGGAAATCTCATCCATATCATGCATGGATATCTTTCTGGCGAAATAGTCTGCCAATGGAACATGATCGCTATCGTTTATCCATAGGCAATCATAGCCACCTGGGTCAACTGCGGAGCATGGGGAGAGGCCAGAGAACTTGGGAGATACGAATCCCGCACTCCAATGGAGGAAGGTTTACCCATATAACTTGGCTATAGAAGCCGCGAAACAGCTGCAAATGATGATAAACCTGAAAACATGTATCTTTGTGTGTGTGGTGCTTGACACTCATGGGATATCATGTGCAGGGCGCACATGATTGCATTTGCCGGGCAATGGTGTTTTCAAACTAGCACCTGGTCACCAGGGTCCCGTCTGGGTAATAAAAGTGCCCTTGACCGCACATCTCAAACTGTGAAAGCCCGTTGTACCCAAGCCCCGCTCACAGTCCCATCGCCTGCAATACCGCTGCGTAGCTTTCGAAGTCCTGGTAGCCGTCGCAGGAAGTAATCGCAGCACACCAGCACAAAGCATAGCGACCCGGGTTCGACAGCACACCTCAGAGCTGCCAAGGGTTGACTCGGCCCAACTGAACTGACAAGGCCTGCAATGCCCAAGGCCCAACGCTTCAATTGTCAAACTGACCAAGGCCTGAAAATCAATGTCAAAAGCCACTAATGATCATCACTAATGTTCATCAAAAGTCTTGGATGCATCATCGCATGCCATTGGGGAAAAACGAAATGATGCCAAATTGATATAGTGCCTGGTGCATACAATCAAAAAGAGAGCGCAGCTGGCAACCTATTTATTTATATATTTGTATCTATTTGTGATATATCCAAGGTGCCAACCTGATGGCCCAACCAAAGCAGCTACCACAAAAGGCCCAAAACCCAACGTCCAACCACCCGTTTGGTCCTTTTTGGGGCAAGTATGGTTCCATCAACCTTCTGGCCTGTGACACAATCTTACTTTCTGTGTTTGGTTCGAACATCTGAATGCGCATAATTTTTCTTCAGCCTTGCTCGGAATTCAGCTTCTAAACCATTCTAAACCCATCCTCCTTTTTTGGGGTGTGGGTCAAGTGGGGGTCCCAAAACACGTCGCCACCATCGCCCATGCTTACCCTCCAGTAAACTAACAGTTTCCCAACTGGAAACCCACCAAATCATCCAAATGTGTGATGTTTCATATGTTCGTCCATCTACAGTAATTACCATCTGGGTATTTAACATAGCCATGGAAAATCCCTTATAAATGGAGGTATTAATGGGAAAATCATCTATAAGGATGCAATTTTCCATGGCTATGTTAAATACCCATAGGGTATACCATGGCAATCAATCAATCGCGGCAATTGAAAATCCTCCATTTAGTTCGTTGATTTTCCCAGCATTTTTTCTCCCGGAAATTGTCCAGCCACGTTTGATGACACCGGAAGGTAAATCCACCCATATCCCATTATCATCCCTCTTCAAGCATATAAAACTATATACAACATTGTGCAACCATATAAAACCATATAAAACCCTATAAAATCCAATATAACACCACCATCTAAAATCCCGGTTTCACCTGAACCTCCAGATACCTCCAGTCAAGCCCAAGGCACGTTCCGGCCCCCAGGTGTAGTGCCGGCCATCCACGGAGGGCAGCGACTGGCCCTTGCGGGGCATTCCGGGCACGGCACGACCACCGCAAGCGCTGGCAACCAGAAGTTTACTGAAGGCTGGCTGGGTGCCCACCAAGCCTCAGCTGGGTGTTCTGGTTTTCTGTGAAGTTTTTTTGCGCATTGACTGTTGGGAAGGTTCAGTAAGGTGGATGCCATGGTGAAGTAATGGTTTTAATGGTTGGACAATGATGGAATGATGGTTCGATGATGGTAAAATAATGGTTAAACAATGATAACCAATGGGTATATAGATCATGGCTGAAGGCTAAATGGCATGAAATTGGTAACGGGTTTTTTATTGCCATGAAATTTGGGGACCCACAAACCGAAACGAAGACAAAACATGGTGATTCCTGTTTTTTGATGGCCCATTGAGTGAAAATAATGTAATGTAGCTATTAATGCTGAATTTCCTTGGCAAACCGTTACTGTAGTTTACCCCAGAGGGTAGCTAAGTTGCTTCAAGACATGTTATAACTAACATAATTGAGGTTTATGCATGTTTATGGTTGAGATTGCTAGATAGTTCCATGACTTGGATGTCCTAGTAGCATGGGTTTTTCCAGGTACCCTGCATCCCAGTCGTATGGGTTATCACCCAGGAATCCTAAATGGGATGCGCCAAGTGCGGTTGTACCCCATATTCAGAAGTCAAGATCCCAAAATCTGGTTGAGATCTCGCTTGTGAGAGGAGGGGCTCGCTGATTGTCGCTTCTTTAGAAAGCATCATTTAAGTGGCCCATGAAACATTTTTTTTCTGTGCGCTTCACTGAGGTGTATCCACATAACTTTTGATTTGGTTTCGCCAATTTCTCTTGCGCCGTCCTGATTATTGTTTAGCCGGCTAATCAGTGGTTTGAATCCCTTTGTGTACAGCTGGGTAATCATATGTTATTGGTTCTAATCCAAGTATGATCACCAGTTCACTAACAAACAGTTACCCATCTAAGTATCACCAACTGGATTAACCCAGTTGAATCACCCTTTGTTGCTGGTTAAACTCGCAATTTTGGTTCATCATTTGTGGGTTTTATCATCCCAGTTTCCATGGTAATTTATATGAAATCAAATTCACCGTGTTTCCGTTTGAACCTACGGCACATAGTATGCCATCATCTGAAAATTGTTTGCCCTTAGTTCCACTGGTTTATCACTACATTTCCCTATGAAAAAGGATAAATAGGTGGATCAACCCAACCCGGCTCCCAAACACACTCAAATATCATATTGTTGAATAGGCCCCACGCTCCTAAAACGGCTATCTATATGTATATATATAATATATACATATATTATATCAGCTACATCATCCCCATATCCCCATATCCCCATTCCATATCATGACATATGATGAGACAGAATACCCTCAGCCCATATTCCACCCATTATACCCCCAGTGCTTTTCCTCACATTTTTGTTGATGAAACCCCCAATGAAATCATAGATACCCCGCTTCGCTGTGGTTAGACCATGTTATCCCCAGACGATCCCATGATATCTCTATTTGCATCTCCATGTATATAATTCCCTTATATCACCATGTTATCCCATATCCCCATATTATCCAATGAATCTTATCTTTATATCTCCATGTTATCCCACTACCACCGTATCACCATATTATACCATCATAGCACCATTATTTTGCATCCTATTACAAAGTCCCATTGTATCTCTAAATCATTCCCAGGATCTCTGGATATTCTCCCTACCCTCTGGTCAACATACTAACATAACTCCGGAAAATCACCATTTTGAATGGGTAAATCACCATTCTGAATGGAAAAATCACCATTTTGAATGGGTAAATCACCATTCTGAATGGGAAAATCACCATTTTCAATGGGTAAATCAACGATTTCCACTGGGCCATGGCTTCCAAATCGCGCGCCGAAGGCGCCGGTGAGTTCGCACTGCCGCGAGCGAATGCAGGTGAACATCTGCGCCGCAAAGGGCAGGACGCCGGGACCGGTAACCTCCAGAAAGCCAATGGGCGTCAGAAAGTCCTTGGAGGCACCGTGGAGCGGGAGCGGGTGATAGCCATGGGAATACCATCTGGTTATGGAAAATATATGGTGATTTATTGGAAAAATGTATAGGAAATATGGTGATTTATGAAATTTATGGGTTATACCATCTGATTATGACTAACATAGCCATGGTATAGACGGCCCATAAAAATAGATGGTTTACCGTTCTTAAAAATGGTGGATTTTTCCATGGCTATGTTAAATAACCAGATGGTAAAATGGGAAGATCATGGGGTATATAATGGAAAATTAGCCTCCAGTTATCTAACAGTTTGCTATTTTACCGCAGGTATGGAATCTCTCCACTTATGGGATGAAATAGAATGGGTTACTATGGGTTACTATATAGTAATATAATATGTATAGACAGTTATAAACTACCCTCCGGTAATCTAACAGTTTGCGAACTGGAACATGGCCCATTTAGTTCGTGGATTTGCCTATGAAAAGTGACCATGTTCCAGTTCGCTATGTTAGTTTACCAACGGGTAGTTTTGGTGATCAGTAGTGCTTTGATGAGATTTAAGCAACAATAATTGACATATCATGGGAACATCAAGAAAAATATGATGATATGTTGGTGGAATTTATACCCCAAAAATAGGAGCCCTATATAATCCCATTTAAGTTATTCCTATCATAAGAAACCGCGGTATGGGAATTTTCGGTCCCATCAGCCATGGGAATTTTCGGTTCCCAAGTTCTATGGATCTCTGGGGATAGAAATTTGCTCGGAGGCGTCTATGATTGTGAGGTATTTTTGCCGGGGTAATAAATATGGAGAACATCATCGGATGTGTCGGAAAAGTAAATATATGTGTGTGTGTTTTTTTGGCGGGGAAGCATATATGCTTATAACAATATGTCATAACTGTACATGACTGACATTTTTGGAGTTCACTGCAGAAAATCGTCGGAGCAGTCGCCACCAGATGAGTCTAAGCATGTGGAATTTTCTTGATGAGATGCATTGGGAATGACAAAAAAATATGGGGATACAATACCTGAGCTACAGTGGGGATATAATGGTGGCTCGAAGGTGTATCCTCTGGTTATTTAACATAGCTATGTAAAATGGGCCCATTTACAGATCGTTTTCCCAGCTAGAAACCTCCATTTATTTTGGGGAATTTCTATGGCTATGTTAGTCATAACAAGATGGATTCAGATGGTAAGATCTTGGGGGATATCATGGAAATTTAATGAAATTTAGCCATGGATCAACATATTATCCCTATGGTTTTCCCTATGGTTTTCCCTATTATCGGCTGGTTATATCAACCGATGATCAACCCGAATTTCCAGAGATCCACCGGCTCCAAGCATCATGTGGACTCTGGCAGCCCTTCAGGGTGGCATCATTTCCGCACCAACAAATGCGGTAGGTCCCCGCGAAGGCCCAGGTGGGACCCTCCCAGCCTCGGTGTTTCCAAAAAGATGTGGTGAGGTTTCAAGAATAATGATATCATGGTGATTTAAAGGTGGTTTAATGGTGATTGAATCGTGATTTAATGATCATTTAATGATGGTTTAATGATGGTTTAATGATGGTTTAATGGTGGTTTAATGATCATTTAATGGTGATTTAATGGTGATTTAATGGTGATCATTTAATGGTGGTTTAATGGTGATTGAATCGTGATTTAATGATCATTTAATGGTGATTTAATGGTGATTTAATGATCATTTAATGGTGATTTAATGGTGATCATTTAATGGTGGTTTAATGGTGGTTTCATGGTAATGTAATGGTGGTTATCATATCATAGTGTTTTCATGGGGTTATCTTGGTGATTAGCATTGTCATTTGATGGAATAATTATAGTGGGATTATAATCGATTATCCCATCCCCTGTTCACATTAATCACACCCTAAATGATTAGATAGCCCTTTTGTTTTTTTACCCCCTACGATTTACCATTGTTTCTGGGGTGTGTTTAATATTGAGGGGAAAGGATTACAAATAACCATGGGAACATATGTGATGTGCGCATATGTATGTGTATGTGCTGTCTGTTTGTGTAACCTTGATATAAAGATACAATTAAGACGATTGCACATGGATGAGTTTAACATCATGCTGTGAACATCAACAATGCAAAATGATTAAACGAGAATGACGAACTTATCCATGGCTGAACTGATGAAACGGTGAAACCATGCTCGGTGATGATGCCGTGTCATGATGAGTATTGATGATGACGAGCAGGAGGATCGTGGGCGTTTAAAAAGTACACAACGTGAAGTAATGATTGACTTTTGCCCCAGTTGAGTCCAAAATGAGCCATTTTCACAGACCCTCCCCACAAACAGTTCGCAGCATCAAGCAACTAAAGTAGCCCGGAGTGGCATGTGGCACGCTCACCCCGAAGTTTGGAAAACCATACACACCGCGCATTGTGAGATTTGACAGGCCCCCTGTGCACGGAGTGGTGGAGATGGATGTGGTCAAAATGGAGCTTTCCAAGTCTCACCCTTAAGACTGGCTTCAACTGGGATAATCTCTCCATTTATATCTACATCTATATCTATATATCTAGATCTAGATAGATAGATAGATCGATCGATCGATCGATAGATAGCAGATAGATAGATAGATAGATAGATGGATGGATGGATAGATAGATAGATAGGATTGGATTGGATTAGATTAGAGTAGATTAGATTAGATTAGATAGGGTAGATAGATAGATAGATAGATAGATAGATTGATTGATCGATCGATAGATAGCAAATAGATAGATAGATAGATAGATTAGATAGAGTAGATAGATAGCTAGTAGAAGATAGGATTAGATAGATAGATTAGATAGATTAGACAGATTAGACAGATTAGATAGATTAGATAGATTAGATAGATTAGATAGATTAGATAGATTAGATAGATTAGATAGATAAGATAGATAAGATAGATAAGATAGATTAGAATAGATTAGAATAGATTAGATAGATTAGATAGATTAGATAGATTAGATAGATTAGATAGATTAGATAGATTAGATAGATTAGATAGATTAGATAGATTAGATAGATAGATAGATAGATAGATAGAGAAGATAGATAGATAGATAGATAGATAGATAGATAGATAGATAGATAGATAGATAGATAGATAGATAGATAGATAGATAGATAGACAGATAGATAGATAGATAGATACATAGATAAATAGATAGATAGATAGACAGATAGATAGATAGATTAGATAGATAGATAGATAGATAGATAGATAGATAGATAGATAGATAGTTAGATAGATAGATAGATAGATGGATTGGATTGGATTGGATTGGATTGGATAGGATAGGATAGGATAGGGTAGGATAGGATAGACTCCAAAGGGTGGTAAAGAAACAACCCTAGTATAACAGTATACCCTAGGTTGGACCCCAGGAATATCATGGCGCATCCTTGGGCTCCACAAAGACGTTCCTCTTGGTTTCTAGGGATCAGTAGGGTGCAACCAACAAGGTTCTCTTAGAACCTCCAATTCCAGGACAGTTTAATTTTGACTCATTTAATCTCATCTAATCCCTCAATTTATTTACGATAGACCAACATTACCTAATATTGATTATCCGTGTTCCGCGTTGAATTCGCTGCAAATTGGGGTTCATCCCCCATTTTTGCACAAGCCTGTATAAACATGGATACAGATACAGCATATAAATGATAGTAAATGACAATATGTAACTACTACCATTAACTACCTATCTAGCTACCTATATCTAGCTACATGCTTCTCGTGCGCCGTTCTGTTCCGGCTGCCTCCAAGGTCATCCGTGGCAGGTGTCGTAAGACCCAGAACCGAAAGCACTACGCCAAAGGCAAGCCTGAGAGCTTCAAGGTCGTGACCCCCCGTTATAGATTGGTTTACGATCCCCATGAGTGTGGCAAACCCAATGTCATAAACTATCCACAAAAGCACATGGATGGTAAAAAACATGTAAAAACCATCCCACAAATCGTATAAGTTTATTGTTGGGTTGCCCAAATTACGGGTAACTATAGGTAATTTACCAGTAACTTCCGGGTGACGGAAGTTTCGAGGGGGGGATGCCCAAAGGAAAAGGGTAAGCCTATAGGAACGCATCCTGACCGCCTGCTTGTCACAGCCGTTGGCTGCGTCATTTTTTGGAACTCTTTCTCTTGTCAACTCTTTCTGGTGCCAAATGTTTGTCTGGACGTCTTTTTCTCCTTGACATGTCTTTCTCTCGACATCCTTGTCTGATGATGCCACTTTCTCTTGATCCGGTTTGCCTTTGAAATCTCTTGCTCTTGGCAGCCCTTCCTGTTGACAGCTCCGAAGCTCGAGACCTGGCACACTCTTCTCTCCTGACAATCATTTTCTCTTCAGCCGCTGACCTTTGACATTTCTTTTTCTTGGCATCCCTATATTTTGGCATCTCTTTTGCTTGAGACCTTCTTGACATTTCCTTCTCTCGACACACCATTCTCTTGACACGGTTTTCTCTTGACACCTTGTCTTGAGACCTCTTGGGCGGACCTTCTGTCGGCGGTCTTTCATTTTCAGGTATTTCTCTTGGCATCTCTTTCTCCGGGCATCTCATTCTTTTGACTTATCCTTCTTCATATTTTTCTTGGGACCTCTGTGTTTTGGCGGCTCATTGTCGTGACATGCTTTTGTGTTTGTGTGCACCTTGATGCAGCCACTCCAAGACGATTTATGACGCCCAGCTGCAAAAGACCATAGAACTACCACGCAGCCGCAGCACCTACGAACCTTGATGCAGCCCCTCCATTGCGATCTCACTTCCCTACTCTCTTCACTTCCCTACTACTTTCTGCACATTTGAATTCCGTGTCACGGACTTTCGACTTCCTTTGATCATAAACCGTCATAAACCCTAGCTGCCCTAGCTATTTGAGTTACAGGCAAACCAACTTAGCAATCTATGGGGCACCACCTTGCAGGATGCAAACCGGCCGGTAATCAGATTTCCTATTGATTTCCCATTTATGTTCCCGTCCCATTGAAACCTCCATTTACACATCGATCTTCCCATTCATTTTCGCCCTGAAACCCATCCCTGGTTCGTCGCTAGTAGCCTCACCGGAAGTATGCTCACCACACCAGGTTCATGGGAAAAAATAACAAAACATATGATCAATGGTAATTTCAGGATCCTAAAATGGAGGTACGTTAGTCCCATATTTCTGGCCATAGAAATTGTGAGGATATTCCCTGGAATTTAGGCCTGAAAAATAGGCCTTATATATGGTAGGTACCTCCAATTTATACAGGTTCCACATGATCAATGGTAATTTCAGATAATTTCAGGATCCTAAATGACCATAGATATGAAAATATGGGTATGGATCAATACCTATGAAAATACCATTTTTAGTGGGTTATTCACATCCATTTTAACCCAGCTATTTTGATGTGAACTACAGGGGTACTATTGGTTTTGACACATCCCCATAGGTAAATTTGGGGAAAATGCCTGGCTTTAATAAGGATTTCACCCAACAGAAATACATTTAACCATCAAATATTGTTTATGGCCTTGGGGTTTACGACATTATATAAATGGGGATGTTCAAGTCCCCCCATATCTGAAATCCCAGCTGCAAGTCCTGCGCCGTGAAGTCTGCCGCATCCGTGGCCCAGCCGGCGCTGACCCAGGAGGCGCCCTTCGTTGCGACGCCATCCGCCCAGCCCACGGGTGGCTGGGCCGGGACGCCGCAGTCCTTTTTGACCGTGTAGATCCGCAGTCCGGGTATCGAAAGCATGGGAAATACCGTAGAAAATGCCATGAAAATGCTGCTTCATTGCTTCAATCTCTCAGAAAATGCTAGTTAAACATAGTTTAAACTGTTAAACCATCAAAAATGCTGCTGCAAAAATGCCTGCAAACATGATGATTTAAGCCACAATCATGGTGGTAAAATGGTGGTAGAATGGTGGTACAATACCGAGCATGTTGATCCAATTTGGTATACAACATGTATAGTATACCACCAACAATAAGGAGCACTATCCAATAATGTGTCAATATAATTTTGCCTTTCTTTTTCGGGTTATAAAACACCAACAATATAGTATCCAACCAACACTTGATCCATTAGTGTGTGATCAAGACGAACGGGAGGTTGAATGAGATTTACCATTAATAGTGGATAATCATTGGGTTGATCGGAAGTCACGGATTTTATCCTCTGATAATTTAACAGTTTGCCATGGAAAAACAACATGTTTAATAGGTAAATCATCAAACTAAATGAGCGTTTTCCATAGCTATGTTAATCTACCAGAGGGTGATGATGGGGATAGCCGGGGTAGCCATGTTTTTTGTTGTTCATGACTATAGCAAGCTGCAGAATAGTTGGACACTTGGAAACTATCGGAAACAAATCGGTACCAAAAGCATCGCCAAATTGGGGTTTAACCATGAACAATCGAGTTTTTTTTGAAGTTGTATAGAGATTTACTGGAATAATTATCTTACCTTGCTAACAATGGGGTTTACTGGGGTTGAACCAACCCATTCATGATTATACAATGGGATATACATAGCCATAAATAGCCAACGTGTTATGATATCTGGCTGTGTCTGAATATGGAACCATGAAACATAGGGCATTAACAAACACAAATAAGGTAGAATTCGGTAGTACAATGTGGGATATAACTAACCACATAAAATCTTCGGGGGCATCTGAAAACTTGGCATGTCATCCATGGATTGATGACCTGGCTTGACTCTAACGTTTTCGGTGAACCCTGGAATTTTCAGCAGCCCATGAGTTTATCAATCTGATAATCTGGGTCAAAATTCGTTTTTGTTTGTTGGATAGCCACCAAAAAGATGTTTTTGTTGGTGGTTTCCGCTGATTTTTCTGGTGATTAGATCCTCCCTACGGAAAGACTGCGGTTATCCAACTTTCAGAGGATCTGAATTTGGCGGAATTGGTGTAGGTTTCGTTGAAGCGAATCCTAAGGCAACACTTTGTATTGATCGTTGGGGATGAGTTTTATTTGCACATATTCTAATATTGGGGAGTCTTGCGGGGAGCTTTTCAAGATGATCTGACTTTCAATGGCAGACTGAAGAACTTTTTGAAGCAGCAGAACTTCAAGGAATGGTGAACAGAAATGACATAAATGAAGAACTTTTGGACCTAGAGGCTCTGAAGACGATAATTAGAGAGTCAACCACCTTCAACAGTTTACCCTCTGGTCAACATACATAATTAACTATGGAAGATGACCATTTTTAATGGGAAAACTCACTATTTAACAATGGCCAGTTTTTCAGCATCGAAGTCCGGGATTCTTCACCAGCTGACAGCAGCTACCGAGCTACCTCCAATGGTTAATTGACATGGGATAATGATGGTTAATAGTGGTTAATAGTGGATTTTCCCATTAAGAATGGTGATTTTCCATAGCTATGTTAGTTTACCAGTGGATAATAGTGGTTAATGATGGTTAATAGTGGTTAATACTGGGATATGAATGATATATACCATATAAAACCCTATCTGGTTGGTGGTGCAATAACCATCTTGAAAAATATGACTTCGTCAATGGGAAGGGTGACATCCCATATATGAAATGGTAAATAAAATTCATGTTTGAAACCACCAACCAATGTTTATTCTCCGTTTCCATACGAAAATGGCCACAAATTGGCCATATCCCCCCATGTTTGGATACAAACCCCTTTCACAGTCAGATACATATCCAGCTACATCCTGCTACATCCCCATCAGGAAAAAAAAAACTGTTTTGGTTGGTTAAACCCCATGAAAGCTCAGGAAAATCCCATGAAATCAGCATAAGTTCTATCCATTTTCATCCATTTTCTATCATAGGTCGCAATCCAAACTGCGGCCTACTGGCTTCGCTGGGTCCTTGAGAGCCATGATCCGATCCGAACCCTGAAGACCTTGACCCTGTACCAAGGGGGTGGTGCACGTCGCACCCAGGCGGCAGGAAATCAAATCCTGAGTGGCTGCCAGGTGGGAGTTATGGCTGGTTTAATGGCTTAAGTATGCTGAAGTCATGGACAAATCATGATTTTATCATGGGAAAAAGCGTTCAGAACAATGCGACTATGATGGGAATTTTCACCAACACAACTGGGGATCTATCCGACTGAATGGGATGGATATGTACTTGGGAATGGGGAATAGAATGATGAAATAAAACTAATAAATGACGGCAGGGACCCTGAGAATTGGTGGGATGGAACTGGTTATTTTCCATGACTATTTCATGGTTATGAATGGAATTTAAGCAGCAATAGGTGGGATTGTACCAGCAGAAATGGATAATGGGGATTTATCATCTCAACGACAGCGACCCTGAGAATAATTGGCTAAAATTTGGAGGAAAGCAGTCTTCCAAGCCCCTAGTTAGCAAGGTCTGTGATGCTAAGACCTCCAAAACCACAGCTGTCAATCATTTCTGGGTATTAAGATGTATTAAGAATCAATCTGGAGGTGCCACAAGTGTGACCCAGACCAAGTTGCAGGTCATGTATGAAGCCCTTGGGGTGACGAAATGTGTTTGAAGCCATGGTTTCAATGTCCGGTTATCCAAGCTTTGACTTCTACACTTTGAAAGCAGGCAGAAAAACAACGGTTTCAGGTGATCATGGGGCTCACCATGGCAAATACCATGATCATCCATGATCATCTTTTGTTGTCCCATTCTAGGCACCAAATGGCCTGCCATTTGAAGACTATGGCAATCTATGGCACACTGGCCACTGGATCATCCCGAGACTAACTAAAAAAATCGAATTTTGATGTGTTTGTTCATCGAAATTTCAATTTTGGGTACCCTTAAACCATGGGTTTGCCTTGAAAAAAAATGAACAGTTTGGGATGATTTGGGGGCTAAGAAGATTGCTGGAAGTTGCACCCGGATTTTGCCCAAACTTTACTGTACCAAAAGAAGTGTTACCTGTTACTTTCAAACGTGACCCAAACTTGACCCATGAAGAAACAGGACTTTACCCACACCCATGCGGAGGTTTCCTAAAATGGGCCCCTAAACCATCCATTCTAATCGGATTTTCCATTATAAAACATCCACTTTGAAGTTCCCCCATTCATGAAAATCACCGTGTGTTTATTTTTCCCCAGCTTCAAAGGTGGGCAAAACAATGCCATAAACCATCCATTTGGGAATGGTGAACATACCACCGATAAAAATGGTAATGACTGGGGGATAGTTTATGGCATTGTTTTACCCACATAAATGATAAATCAATGGTAAATCAATGGTAAATCACCAATGATCTATGATAATCAATATAAATCAATGAAATTGTTTAACTCACATTATAACACATTATACGCATATTACTATAATATGTACCATTGTGAACCTGAATCTTCAAACTCCATCAGGTTTTCCCAGATATTTTTGATTGTATCCTTTCTGGGATAAGCACCAACAGTTTGTCCCCAGCTTCAAAGATGGGCTTGGGCCCAATGACCACCAGCCTCCCCGCAGGCGACAGGAAGTCGCCGCCGTCGTCCGCGCGCCACGAAGGACACGGCGTTGGCGTGATGCCGTCGGGGATGCGGTACTGTTGCCCTGGCAACACCGGAAAAAACGATGGAACTAGTTCAATTGTGGTAAAATCACGGTGTGCAGTATATAATAGTATATATATATATATTTTTTTTTTTTGGATATTGAAGTTGTTTATCCAGGTTACTATCTAGGAAAGAAAAGGGAAAAAGTACAATGGTTACAAACTTTAGGTCCAATTTTTTTGATCTGAATTCGGTGCCAAACAATCTTTAGTACCTTGGCCATGGTGGCTGGACATAGCGCTCTCAGTACAGACTTCAAATTCGATTGAACGCAGCGCGTTTAGGGTGTACCTATGAAATTGATGTAAACAAATGTCAATGTGCATATGTCAATTTAATAATATATATTATATAACGTACAATATATATATATAATCACACACATATATATATATACGTATATTGAGAGAGAGAGAGAGAGAGAAACAATAAAGATAATATTTCTCCAATTTGTCCCATGCAGCGGCCTGGAGCGATGTTCCAAGTCCTGCGAACCGGACCGCACCAGCACAAGTTGTAGACGCCGCCCTCCATGATCAACGGAACACCGTAGTAGGAATACCTCAAATCGCCATGAATCACCCATGTTCATGGCGTTACGAACCAAAAATGAACCAAAAATGAAGGTGCGAGCATCAAAATGTAGGGATTTCACCACGCAATGCATGGACTTAAGATGACTTACGGAAAATCCTGCGTTGAAACCGTTTTATGCATTCAAATGCATGAGTTTCCTGCAAATGTTCACTTCAAGTGCCTTCAACCACCTCTTAGATATATACTGGCTGCGGCTTCAAACCCAAAAAAAAAACATGATATGACAGGAACAGTATGATACAGTATGCAATGGGTCTGCACGTGGCAAAGATGAACAGAATGGATTTGTATACTTTCGGTTTAGGTATTTAACCATACTCATCTAGGCTTGCTCTGATGTAATCGTGATGACTCAGCCATGGCTTGAAGAAGGCAGTTCTGGAAATGTTATTTGGAGGGTTCCAACCCACCATCAGTCGGGGGAGCGCGAAGGAAGGGCTTAAAGGTTCAATAACAGGGCTTGGAAAGGAAAACACGTTTTCGGAACAGAACATCACAGAACATGTTTGCTTCCCACTGTCACGAAATGAAGTTTGAGCACAAGCTTGTCCATGGTTAAGCATCACACACGCGCTACTTCTTGCAACCACCCAATGGTCTCACTACTTGGGACATCTTGGGACCAAATGCTGATCATTTGGGCTGACTGAGCATCAACATCTCACTGTTCAAAAGTCAACTTATGATTTGTCTACCCTCTGGTAAACTAACAGTTTGCTATGGAACATCACCATTTTTAATGGGAAAACTCACTATAAATGGCCATTTTCAATAGCTATGTTAAATTACCAGAGGGTATATATTCTGTTCCATCTTTTCCGTACTTGTTGGGTTCTCCAACTCCCTGGTTGGCGCTGATTTTCGCAAGAAAGCTGCGTACGCAAAGACTTGTTGTAGGGCTCCTTAGCTCTGCCGGAAAAGGGGGGCTCATCAAAAATAAAACACCTACTTCTGGTACAGATCTACCAAATTAGAACTCAACAAAAACAATCAAAACATCCACTAACACCCACTTTTTCCGCAACAAACACATCCAAACACATCCTGGTAGCATGCTGTTGGTTGGTTGGCAATTTCTTGGATTTCTGGGTTTTTGCAAGTTCAACATCATATAAACATCATATAAACAGGTTTTTCCATGGTTTTTGTGTGTTTTTTCCCATGGTTTTTCCATCAGCTGCCGAGCTTCCGAGACCCCCAGGTTGGGAAAGTCCACCAAGCCCGGCGGATCCGCCAGCGACTGTCTGCGCCAGAAGCAGCCGCGGTCGTCCGCAGGGAGCACCACCAGGCGGGAACCGTCTTCCAAGGCGTGGCCGGCGAAGTGTTCGATGACCTAAACATGGGGGATCCCGGAGTCAAAAACCCATGGGAAAACATGGGGGATGTTGATGAACTATGACCTCCGGATCCGGAATTTCTTGGAAAACATGGGGGATTTGGATGAACTTAGGGATGTTGATCCAACTTTAGGGGATTTTGATATACTTAAGTGACTTTCTTGCATGATCCAATGATTCACTTTTTCTGTGACATGACTTCTCTTATGAGGAAATTGGGGCATGTTAAACGGCACGTTTGTCGGCTTGACACGCGACACTTGAGAGATATCATGTCAGCATGACAATGAGGATGTGTGACTTGCAATGATGACCAAACATTTACTGCAAGGAAACCAGCCAACAAGCTGGTAAACAACAAAAACACGCAGCACGGGTATGAAAAGCATGTCTTTCTCATTTTGTAGCTTCTGTCCCTCTTGTAGGTTGTGTCCTTAGCCTTCTTGTTTGAATACCTGGAGTGAACAAATGTATACCCCATCTGGCCCCATCCTGGTTTGCTCAGCCAGCCATGACCATTGATCATCTGTCTCCAAGCCCCTTCAATGATGGCTTCCAAAGCTACCCATCAAGGGGGTTGCCCTACAAACCAACTTGTTTGGTGTCACCTCGTTATTTTTCTGGTCCTTCAATCTTGTTGGGGATGAATTGGAACCCATGAAAATAACCTGGGATCAGGACCCATTTCAGCCATTGCCAAGGAACGCATGGCAAACCCGTTCTGCAGGTCATGTTGCTGTCACGCTGCACCACTGAGGGTCCAGCCTGGGAGGTAGTAGCTATGGAACTCCATGGTTTTCCTATTCGGACATGACCTACACATGGTGGATTTTCCATGTCCATATCTTAAACAAACAGAGTGTATCCCTTTTAGGGGGGGATAGCGGTTCTCAAAAGCATTCGAACACACATTCGCCAATGATTCACCAAACGTTCCGAGTCAATTTTTCTCATTTTCTATGGCCCAAGCTGCAGCCACGGAAACCCTTAGATATCCTGCCACAAAAAAACATCTTTTGTAGCGTGTTGGTATAGACCACCATTTATAGTAAAACAGGATAAGTTGCCTTATATAGCTGGATCCATGTTGAACCTCAAAGCCCGGATATAAATCGTTGGTTTCGTTTCTCCTTTTATTCCCTCGTTGGATTCCCAGATTTTGGGAATTGTCCCCAGGTCATCCCAGGTCCGCCATCTGCATCCCGACCAGCCCAGGCGCCACGTGCAGTGCACCAAGCCGAGTCCTGAAGTCTCCCTCCGCGCTACAGCTGGACTCGGTGCCGTTGCACCAGCAGAGGCTGTAGCTGGCGCCCGGGGCAACCATAGAGTTTAAGCTGATGTCATAGGCCCGGCCCTGACCTCACCATGGGACATCATTGGACCCATGGGAGGTTTGTTGCGGCCGTGGAACTATGTATACACATGTGTGTACATAGGTATATCATATTAACATAAACATGCATATGCATGTATGTATGTATGCATGCATGCATGCATGTATGCTATGCTATGCTGTGCTGTGCTGTGCTGTGCAATGCAATGCAATGCAATGCAATGCAATGCAATGTAATGTAATGTAATGTAATGTATGTATGTAATGGTATGGTATGGTATGGTATGGTATGGTATGTTATGTGATGTTATGTTATGTTGTGTATGTATGTGTGTATGTGTTTATGTATGAATGTATGAATGTATGAATGTATGAATGTAGGTATGTAGGTATGTAGGAATGTATGAATGTATGAATGTATGAATGTATAAATGTATGTATGTATGGATGGATGCATGCATGCATGCATGTATGTAATTGTATGTATGTAATGATATGTATATACAAATATATATGTATAAATATATATATATATATATGTATATGTATATGTATATGTATATGTATATACATATATGTGTGTGTGTGTGCGCGGGTGTGTGTGTGTGTGTGCGTGCATACATTTAACTGAAATCACATATCCAAAAACATGAGTATATACATATAAAATCATATAAATAGAGCATTCCAATTCATTCCATGGTTTTCCCGCGCAATTTGCTTTCATCCAATTCTGGGAATGCCTTCCCCAAAACATGAACTCCCTTGAATTTTAGGGACCCTAACGCATAATTTGATCCAATACGAATGCAATATCCATGGTCAATTAGAAGTAGGGCCGGTACCTCCATGTTAATAACAGTATTGCACAGCGAGTAGACTCCAACATATACCAGTCATGTCTGGCCCATCTATCTCTCCATTGTTTTGTACATGTTTTAATGGAGTTCAAAGAATAATCACACCACCCATCGCTGCCGTGGGCAATGTATAATGTATGTATATATTATAAATATGTGTATATGTATATATATATATATATGTGCGTGTAAATTAAATAGATATATATGTATATATAGGTATCTAGCTGAATTATAGTAATTAATTCACTAACCAGAAATTCTAAAGTAGCTGAAATAATGGCATTATTCATGATGATGATGATTCCCCTTAATTGCTAACAATCTTTCCAATGACGTCACATTGAGGGCATTAAAAATCATCCAGACTGATATACATATAATGTTGTCAACATGCAAAACCCAATCATAAACCACCGATTTGGGTATCGTTTCAATCCCCATTTCCGGAAAGTGAGTGTCGATGGTTTGCCGTCAAGTTTACCGCAGTTGTGCCTAACAATTGCACGCAAAATATAAGTAAATAATCCCTTCCTCCTAATACTAAACGTCCCCCTAATACTAAAAACAGGCATCCATCTCCAATTTCCGAAAATTTCAGTTTGGCCAATTTGACTTTTAATTGATCCCCTTTAAAAAACAATTCAAAAATCAACCTACCATTTGTGGGTTCTCCCCCCTAATACTAAAAACTAATTCATCCCGGGGTGTTTAGTATTAGGGGGGCTAGTTTTTAGTATTAAGGGTTTTAATTTAGTATTAGGGGTAAGCTTCGAACTGCCATTTTTGGCAATATTTTAATTGCGTTATATAAGGAAATTTAATTGATTTTGAGATCGGAAAAAATAGTTTTTAGTATTAAGGGTTTTAATTTAGTATTAGGGGTAAGCTTCGAACTGCCATTTTTGGCAATATTTTAATTGCGTTATATAGGAAATTTAATTGATTTTGAGATCGGAAAAAATAGTTTTTAGTATTAAGGGTTTTAATTTAGTATTAGGGGTAAGCTTCGAACTGCCATTTTTGGCAATATTTTAATTGCGTTATATAAAGAAATTTAATTGATTTTGAGATCGGAAAAAATAGTTTCTAGTATTAAGGGTTATAATTTAGTATTAGGGGTAAGCTTCGAACTGCCATTTTTGGCAATATTTTAATTGCGTTATATAAGGAAATTTAATTGATTTTGAGATCGGAAAAAATAGTTTTTAGTATTAAGGGTTATAATTTAGTATTAGGGGTAAGCTTCGAACTGCCATTTTTGGCAATATTTTAATTGCGTTATAAGGAAATTTAATTAATTAATTAATTAATTAACATGACTTCGATTTGGTTCCCTAATAATAAATACCCCCCTAATACTAAAAACTACCTGCCGTGTTTTGTATTAGGGGGGGGGGGTTTAGTATTAGGAGGAAGGGATTATGTCCTAAATAGAGATACAGTACCCCCACATCATCCAAGAATTACACTATCGTCGTCTTCAATGTTGAAAACCGGCCCACAGGAAGTTAAGGGTGCCCTCCAATTTTCGAAACGATCTTCTGAGCGACTGCCGGACTTGCGCAGCGCAAGGCCGTTGTTGGGAAAACCCTCTGGGCCGCTGGTGGCGAATGGACCCACCAAGCGAGAAAACGTGCAGACCTTGTAGGACAGCGTCATGCTGGGAAAGAGGACCGAAAACTCCTGATCGGAACCTCAGTTGTGGCTATACTCTGCCCTGCCCTGCAAAAACAAAATTGGCACCTGGAGAATATGGGTAATCACTTAGAGTCAGTTATAGTTACTGTATCTTATAGTTATAGTCACTTATCCATACTTATCCTAAATTTGGACACTTGGAATGACCAACTACAGTAACCCATTCGTAGGGGTTGTCCAATGGTTGTCCTGCTTATCAATGAGCCTTGGTTATTGAGAAGTTGCTAATCAGCTAGTTCCTTCCCTGCAGTATTAGATAGACCACCAAACATATTCTGGTTTTGTATTCGGTCCATTGATGAATTGGTGGCGGATAATGCATATACATGTGTATGTGTATATAATATATATATATATGTGTGTATGTGTGCAAATATGGAGATAGAACAATAATAATAATAAAGGGCACTGGACTGGGATGAGTATCAAACAAAAACAAAATGAAAAAAAAAAACAAGTTCCCACAATTTTACAGCACCCTCATGCACCCTCCCATACCCGCCATACCCTGCCATTTTTTTTCAAGGTACAGGCGCCGCGCGGCACATAACACCAGGCCCCTTTGGGGTCGCGCTTATCTTCTATGCCCACGCCAGAGACCACCAAAGGATCTTGGGAAATGGCCGAACAAGTGCCACCCTTGCGGTGAGGGTCAACCTCACCGCTGCATCGACCTTAAAAGTGAAGTGGAAGTGGGATGAATAATGGTGGTGTGATTTCATTGATGCTGTTCTGGGTAATTTCGTCCAGCTATGTGAAGCTATATTCTCTGGGCTTTGGGCGAAACCATCAGCAATTTCAAATATAAAATCATGAGCATTTAAGATCGTTTGAGTGATCAAATTCATAAAGGATACTACCGAACACACACAAGAAACATTTGGATGTGTTTGAATGCAAAACCAGGCGGAGGCGGAGGCGGAGGATTTGAAGCAACCGCGAAAACATCGCCTTTGGGCCGGAAACCACCACTAGTTTAATCAGTTCAACCACGCAAAATGTATCTTTAGAGTCAATCTACCATCTGGTTATGACTAACATAGCCATGGAAAATCACCATTTTTAATATTTGTAAACTAGTAAACCATCTATAAATGGGCCATTTCCCATGGCTATGATAGTCATAACCAGAGGGTAAAGCATTTGAAGTTTCGCCAACCGACGAGGCACATCTGCCCGGGCACCCGTCGGCCCGGACCATCACGGAATCTCTGTAGCTGAGGCCCACCCCAAGGATGTTATCCTGGCACTGGAGAAGCATGGGAACACCAAACGAAAGCCTGCAGCATAGAATATTTCCATGCATCATCATGCATCTGTATACTTGTATAATATTGTATAACTACATACGCATGTCTTGAATTACGGATGATTGGTGCGATTAGGTGTCAACCCAGACACACACACACACACCATGGACCTCAATCAAGATAATCAAGATCCCCTTGAGCATCATACTTTGACGATCATCCCATTTGGTGCTTCCTATGTCAATGTCATGGCGATGATTTTTATTCATGATTTGGGGATCATGAACACAGCCCCAATTTCTGGGTGAACATAGACTTGTATATGTATGTGTGTATATATATAATTATATATATATGTGATTGTGTGTGTGTCTGTGTGTGTGAGCACACGTATATGATCGTATATACGTATATATATATATGCATATATGTATATATATATATATCATCATACCTCCATATCATCATATATAATATATCCATATGCATATATTACAGTAATTAGTCAATAAGCCATATCCAGAGAGAATTTCTCATTTGGCTTATTAACTAATTACGTAGTAATGCAACCAACGAAATCATGTGGGTGAATGCAAAAATATGGACAAAAAACATCGCCATGACATTGACATAGGAAGCACCAAATGGGATGATCGTCAAAGTATGATGCTCAAGGGGATCTTGATTATCTTGATTGAGGTCCATGGTGTGTGTGTCTGGGTTGACACCTAATTGCACCAATCATTCCATACAAATTGGATCAAATGGGTGACTCATTGGCGCATACAAATGGGTGGTCCCTGAATTGCTGAGCGGTTTGCTCCAAAACATGCCTGTATAATAGCCAATTATGGAGGCTTGTGGGGCCCCAAATTCTGCTCGAAATCAATTTTCTTTGTTCCTTCCCGAGTCTAATTTTTGGTCAGATTTACTTATCATTGTTAAGTTGAACACGCATTCAATGAAATCACCAAGTTCTTGATTGCAAGGGTTAATCTTGAACATGCAAGCAGAAATACTGAGCTTGGGATGTTGCTCTCTGGTAAATCTAATCTGGGAAAAAAATAATCCTGAATTACGGCCATTTGGGGATGATTTCCCTTATTAGCCATGATTCCAGTGAGGTCGCAGTGAGGTCGTTATAATTTACCCAGATATAATATATATTAATATATATAAAAGTCTCTGATTTAGTCCCTTCTTTCGTTTGGGGGTTTCCCAGCTGCCGGGACTTGCTGGTTATTCAACATATGTAACCATGGACAAGGGCCCATTATATAAGAGATGATACACATTATGATTTACCTATTAAAAATGCTGATTGTCCATAGCTCTGCGACTTAAATTACCGGAGATCCCCTTGATTTCCCATTCCAAAAAGATATTCCCTACTCTTCATGGTTACTCTCGATGTGGACAACCCATAATTTCGAGATATTATATCTATATATATATAATATATATATATATGTTCCTAGGGAAACCATGGGTTTTTCATATGTTTTCTATGTTTACTCGTTTAGGTAAATCCCATTTTTTGATCCCCAAGGGGTGTGTTGGTTATCCAGCCAAAATTTCCGCAAAAACAGCCCACCAAGGTTCAATGCTGCAATTTCTTCCGGAGACACATTCCCAGCCCAGGTCGTCGAATTGTGGACCCATGGTGTGGATGCCATATCGCGTCCTGGCAGCACTTTTCCTTGAGGAAAAGTAACACTTTGTGCTAAATTCATGGTTTTTAATAGGTACATCATCATGTTTATCATTATAAATCGGCAATTTTTCCATAGCTATGTTAAATAACAAAAGGGCAAAAGCGCACGATTTTCCACAGTTGCTCTATGGTAAATTACAGGGTGGATCTGGATGGTATCGCAGTATCAGCGAAAACTATGATGAGACTTCCATGGGAGAACATCGTAGATCAGTCACACATGGAATCCGAATAGACAAATGGACAGAGAATCACAAGATTGACTATTGATGTATAGATTCCAAAAGCAGAACCATACTGTAAACTCTGTAAACTGAACGTGTGTGTCCAAGAGCGGTAAGCCCCCGAATCAATCCATTCATCTCAATTCATATCCATTCATATCAATTCAAATGGGTGTCTGAAACCCACCCGAAGCCTCTGGTTTATCATTGTTATCGTTCAAATTAGGATAGCCCACACAGATATCATGTCAAGCTGGCTATGCATCTCCCATTTAAAAAAATGGTTGATATCTCCGAAATTATGTCTCCATGAGATCTATAGATATTATAGAGTAACATGTATTTTTTTAAATATTGTTTTCATATATTCTATCTACTCCTCACGGGCTATAAAATCAATAAACTTGTCACAAACCCCTCAGGTTCAGCATCTGTGCTGGCGAAGTGGCTCCAGGATCTCTTGGTTTGTCATGCCCTGTCTGGGCGGGAGAATGGATCCTGGAGCGCCGCCGTAAACAGGGAATGGACTTGTTGGAAGGCAAAAGTTGCAGATTGTGCACCACCTTCGTCATTGGTTCCATTGAAATGTAGCGAAGTAGGAGTATGAGAATATTACTATTACGTGTCTCCTTCTCATCATCATCATCATCGTCGTCGTCGTCGTCGTCGTCAACGGTCGTCGTCGTCATCATCATCATCATCATCATCATCATCATCCTCCTCGTCCTCGTCCTCGTCGTCGTCGTCGTCGTCGTCGTCCGTCGTCGTCGTCGTCGTCATCGTCATCATCATCATCATCATGATCATCATCATCATCAAACATCATCAATCAATCGCCATCAATCACCAGCAATCACCATCAATACCATCATCATCACCACCAGCTTCATCATCATAATTGAATCATAATAATCATCAATAATCACCATGATCATAACATTCACCATAATGCTCACACACACATGTTCATCATAACTATGAACCATAATTCATCTACTATTTGTAGCCTCATGTTGATGAACAAAACTCCACATTAAAAGATAAACCACACAGTTACATCGGTATCTGTATGGCAATGGGTATATACATGGCCATCACATACACATTGCACATCTGGGACATGGGCACGGCCTCCCCGGCTCTACAAACATCTCACCCTGGTCCTGGCGGAGGTGGAGGCCGATAAAACTCGGAGTAGCAGTAGAGGTCGTAATAAGTTCCAGCCGACCTCAGAGCGTCAGTCCCAGGATCCGGGCTACCACCTGGCGGAGTTCTTAGTCTTACAAGCACTAGTAGGGGGTATTTCATATTAGGGTGCGAAGCTTCCCCCTAATACTAAATTCAAAACCTCACTGTAATAATAAAAACAAACTATATCATATTTTCTATTTCAAAATCGATTCAATTCCTTTTAAATCTAATCACAATATTGCCAAAAATTGGATTTCGAAGGTCCCCCTAATATTGAATTAAAAACCTTAATAATAAAAAACTACATGTTTAAAAATCGATTAAATTCCTTTCTCCACCCTACTAGTAGTTAACATATTGCCAAAAGTCGGATTTCGAAGATTCCCCCAATATCAATTTTAAAAACATGTTCGATTTTAAAGGACATACCCTAATAAAACACCCCAGTGTTGGCGAGCCCTGCCGCCAGCAGGGGGAGCGCGTCAGAGGAGGCCTTACTAGCAACAAGATGCAAGAAGGGGCGAAGAGAGAACTTTGGACAGACGACGCAGGCCATGGTGTTTGAGCCCTGCGAGGGGGTTCCTTGACCGGAGCCGCGCCGGACGAAAGCCAGCTGTCAGACAACGCAGGCAAGTTGGCTGTTGGCAGTGCAGGAACGCAGGTAAAGTCAAGGTTTGGAGCTAGTTTCTAGTCGGTTCAGAAAGTAACGTTTGGCACTCTGGGCTACGGGCCGCGGGCCATAACCGTCCTTAGGCCAGCTCCAGGAGGACACGAGCGGCAGTTGGCAGTGCAGAAACGCAGGTAAAGTCAAGGTTTGGAGCTAGTTTCTAGTCGGTTCAGAAAGTAACGTTTGGCACTCTGGGCTACGGGCCGCGGGCGTAATCCGTGGTTCACTGCCATGGTGTTTTAGCCCTGCGACACGGTCCTTGGACTCCAGCTTGGACCGAGGCTGTGCAGAACGAAAGCCAGCTCCAGGAGGACACGAGCAGGGTGGCAGTTGGCAGCGCAGAAACGGAGGTAAAGTCAAGGTTTGGAGCTACTTTCTAGTCGGTTCAGAAAGTAACGTTTGGCACTCTGGGCTACGGGCCGCGGGCGTAATCCGTGGTTCACTGCCATGGTGTTTTAGCCCTGCGACAGGGTCCTTGGACTCCAGCTTGGACCGAGGCTGTGCAGAACGAAAGCCAGCTCCAGGAGGACACGAGCAGGGTGGCAGTTGGCAGTGCAGAAACGCAGGTATTGCCCGCACGATAGGCCAACATAGGCCAACATAGGCCAACATAGGCCAACATAGGCCAACATAGCCACAAAATGGGCCCACATAGTTGGGCCCCTGGCCGGCTGTCGCGCGTAAGCGCCTAAATCCGGCCAGGGGCCCCCTGGCCGTGTCCTTGCCGAAGGCGTTTCTCTCCTCTCCGTAGGAGAGAGGGGCCGCCGCCCCTTGCCGCAGACACCCCCGGCCGCCAAAAAACGTCGCGTTTTACGGTGTTTTGTGCTCGTCCCATTTTTTCCCATTTTTCGGATCTTGTGGTTTAAGATGGGTCAACATGGGCCAACATAGGCCTCAAGATGGGCCAACATAGCCACAACATGGGCCAACATAGCCCCCAAGATGGGCCAACATAGCCCCAAGATGGGCCAACATAGCCCCAAGATGGGGCACCATAGCCCCAAGATGGGCCAACATAGCCCCAAGATGGGCCAACATAGCCCCAAGATGGGCCCACATTGCCCTCAAGATAGGCCAACATAGCCCCAAGATGGGCCAACATAGCCCCAAGATAGGCCGCCGACCATCAAAATATCCTGCGTTTTACAGCGTTTTTTTGCTGTTCCCATTTTTCGGATCTTTTGGCTCAACATGGGCCAACATGAGGCAAACATAGGCCAACATAGCCACAAGATGGGCCCACGTTGCCCGCAAGATAGGCCAACATACGCCAACATAGGCCAACATATAGCCACAAGATGGGCCAACATAGTTGGGCCCCTGGCCGGCTGTCGCGCGTAAGCGCTTAAATAAACCAACTTAGCTAACTATGGGGCACCACCTTGTAGTATTGCAACCAACAACAACCGTTTTTTTTGGTGCTTTCCAAGAGGCTAAAGATGATCTTAGGGGACTACATACTTCAGGCCCTTGCATTGCTGGTAAAATCTGTCAACGTAGCAATTGGGATGCGTATCCAAGTAGTGTTACATCATGTTGCATGATATAACGCTTGACGATCAATTATGTAGAAGGACCTTTTTTCATGACATGGATCATGGGTGTTTCTTTATGATAAACAGCCTCACATGGCTACTTGAAGGAAAAGTACAAGCGATGCCCACCTACAAAATAAAAAGGGGCATTAATGTGAGATCGTCCTACGCAAGCCCGGGCCAAATCTGCTATTGATGGACAACATCAAGATGGCTCTTCTCAGCTGCAATGAACAATGGTGTTGCACCTTGATTCTGTGCTTGATCTTTGTCAGCACCAACTTCCACCAAATGACGGACAACATCAAGATGGCCGTTCTGAGCTGCAATGAACAATGGTGTTGCACCTTGCTTCTGTGCTTGATCTTTGTCAGCACCAACTTCCACCAAATGACGGACAACATCAAGATGGCCGTTATGAGCTGCAATGTACAATGGTGTTGCACCTTGCTTCTGTGCTTGATCTTTGTCAGCACCAACTTCCACCAAATGACGGACAACATCAAGATGGCCGTTCTGAGCTGCAATGTACAATGGTGTTGCACCAGTATCCATGGCCTTATACTTGTCAGCACCAACTTCCACCAAATGACGGATAACATCAAGATGGGCGTTCTCAGCTGCAATGTACAATGGTGTTGCACCGTCATCCCTGGCCTTATCTTTGTCAGCACCAACTTCCACCAAATGACGGACAACATCAAGATGGCCCTTATGAGCTGCAATGAACAATGGCGTTGCACCGTCATCCATGGCCTTATCTTTGTCAGCACCAACTTCCACCAAATGACGGACAACATCAAGATGGCCGTTCTCAGCTGCAATGAACAATGGCGTTGCACCGTCATCCATGGCCTTATCTTTGTCAGCACCAACTTCCACCAAATGACGGACAACATCAAGATGGGCGTTCTCAGCTGCAATGTACAATGGTGTTGCACCGGTATCCATGGCCTTATCCTTGTCAGCACCAACTTCCACCAAATGACGGACAACATCAAGATGGCCGTTCTCAGCTGCAATGTACAATGGTGTTGCACCGGTATCCATGGCCTTATCCTTGTCAGCACCAACTTCCACCAAATGACGGACAACATCAAGATGGCCAAAATCAGCTGCAATGAACAATGGTGTTGCACCGGTATCCCTGGCCTTATCTTTGTCAGCACCAACTTCCACCAAATGACGGATAACATCAAGATGGCCCTTATGAGCTGCAATGTACAATGGTGTTAAACCGTCATCCCTGGCCTTATCCTTGTCAGCACCAACTTCCACCAAATCACGGACAACATCAAGATGGCCGCTCTGAGCTGCAATGAACAATGGTGTTGCACCTTGATTCTGTGCTTGATCTTTGTCAGCACCAACTTCCACCAAATGACGGATAACATCAAGATGGCCCTTATGAGCTGCAATGAACAATGGTGTTGCACCGTCATCCATGGCCTTATCTTTGTCAGCACCAACTTCCACCAAATGACGGACAACATCAAGATGGCCGTTCTCAGCTGCAATGTACAATGGTGTTGCACCGGTATCCATGGCCTTATCCTTGTCAGCACCAACTTCCACCAAATGACGGACAACATCAAGATGGCCAAAATCAGCTGCAATGAACAATGGTGTTGCACCGGTATCCCTGGCCTTATCTTTGTCAGCACCAACTTCCACCAAATGACGGATAACATCAAGATGGCCCTTATGAGCTGCAATGTACAATGGTGTTAAACCGTCATCCCTGGCCTTATCCTTGTCAGCACCAACTTCCACCAAATGACGGACAACATCAAGATGGCCCTTCTGAGCTGCAATGAACAATGGTGTTGCACCGGTATCCCTGGCCTTATCTTTGTCAGCACCAACTTCCACCAAATGACGGATCACATCAAGATGGCCGTTCTGAGCTGCAATGAACAATGGTGTCATCCTGTGATTTCCTAGTGGGTCTTTTTCAGCAGCTGCCTCAAGCAAAAGCAGCATGCTTTCAACATGTCCTTCACTGGCAGCATAGTGCAATGGCGTGTTGCCATGTTCGTCTGTGACATTGGGATTGGAAGGGCTATTAAGGAACTTTTCCAGGGCGATCAAATCATTTTCCATAGATGCAGAGATCACTTGTTGGCTTCGTTGAGCATCAGCTGGATAAAAATCCAATACCACCATCTGAAGCTTCACTGGAGCGGAGCTAAAAACCTCATCATCCGGGATCTCAGAACCATCTTCGGAGAAGAGTCGTTGTTTGAATCTGATGACACCAATCTGAACTGCCAAGGCTTGTTTCACAGCCTTTGCAGTCTTTCCTTCGAATTCATCCGGGGCAAGGGCTGCAAGAGTCGCACCTGACAGAAAACACACCTCCATTGCGGCAGTGGCGGACATGCAAACAACCTGTAGTTAGACATGTTCAAATGTGTAAAGATATCTCAAGAAAGTTTTGACGAAGCAATGTACAATGTATATAGATTTATGTTTGTGGAATGTATTGCCATCAACGCACGTACCGTCGACAAGAAACATCAATGGCGTGGGCATTGTCCTTTCCCTGCAGCCAACATCAAATAGACATGACTCACGATTGTCTACGCAAATAGCCTGCACCAAAAAAAGATGATCATGAACATGTGCAAAGTTGTGCTACCAAATTTGCCAAGCATTATCCCACCCCATGTTAGCTACCAAATCTACTTTCTACACAGAATTATCTATATTTTGATAAATTGGGATCTTTATTTTAGCCCATGATACCACAATGGCAAGGATGAACATCCATGAGCAAGCAACTATTTCAATGTGAACACAAGGGTACCTGGGTTCTGAGGACTGTCTCTGGAGGACTGAGAAATATACCTGCCACACTCTAGTACTTTTATTTTGACGATTTACCCTCTGGTAAACTAACATAGCTATGGAAAATCCGCCGACCCCGGCCTTTGCCAAGGCAGGGGCAGCGCCCTGGACCACCGAGGTGTGTGGAACGGGCTCTCGGGTAGCAAGAAAGGAACACGCATCAAGGCAAACACTCTGCCAGCTACATGCCCAGCCATTACATGCTCCTGCCCGACCTCTTACACCTACAGGCCCCTGCCATCTGTTTTTCAGGGGGTTCAAGACTGCCGTTTGCCGGCCTCAAAACCAACCTTAAACGCTTTTTCCTTCCGCAGGCCTCCAAGGCAACAACTCTTACAGCTACATGCCCCTGCCATCTGTTTTTCAGGGAGTTCAAGACTGCCGTTTGACCGGCCTGAAACCTCCCAAACGCTTCCGCAGGCCTCCAAGGCAACAACTCTTACAGCTACATGCCCCTGCCATCTGTTTTTCAGGGAGTTCAAGACTGCCGTTTGACCGGCCTGAAACCCTCCAAACTTCCGCAGGCCTCCAAGGCAACAACTCTTACAGCTACATGCCCCTGCCATCTGTTTTTCAGGGAGTTCAAGCCTGCCGTTTGCCAGCCCGCAAAACCCCCCAAATGCTTCCCTGCAGCTCCCATGCCGTTTGCCAGCCCCGGCATTGTCCTTTTATGGTGGTTCAAGCCTAAACCCCCCAAATGCTTCCCTGCAGCTCCCATGCCGTTTGCCAGCCCCGGCATTGTCCTTTTATGGTGGTTCAAGCCTGCCGTTTACCCGCCCGCAAAACCCACCAAATGCTTCCCTGCAGCTCCCATGCCGTTTGCCAACCCCGGCATTGTCCTTTTATGGTGGTTCAAGCCTGCCGTTTGCCCGCCCGCAAAACCCCCCAAATGCTTCCCTGCAGCTCCTATGCCGTTTGCCAGCCCCGGCATTGTCCTTTTATGGAGGTTCAAGCCTACGTTTTGGAGCCTTCCAAACGCCCCAAATGCTTCCCTGCAGCTCCCATGCCGTTTGCCAGCCCCGGCATTGTCCTTTTATGGTGGTTCAAGCCTGCCGTTCTGCCAGCCCGCAAAACCCCCCAAATGCTTCCCTGCAGCTCCCATGCCGTTTGCCAGCCCCGGCATTGTCCTTTTATGGTGGTTCAAGCCTGCCGTTTGCCGCCCGCAAAACCCCCCAAATGCTTCCCTGCAGCTCCCATGCCGTTTGCCAGCCCCGGCATTGTCCTTTTATGGTGGTTCAAGCCTGCCGTTGCCAGCCCGCAAAACCCCCCAAATGCTTCCCTGCAGCTCCCATGCCGTTTGCCAGCCCCGGCATTGTCCTTTTATGGTGGTTCAAGCCTGCCGTTTGCCAGCCCGCAAAACCCCCCAAATGCTTCCCTGCAGCTCCCATGCCGTTTGCCAGCCCCGGCATTGTCCTTTTATGGTGGTTCAAGCCTGCCGTTTGCCCGCCCGCAAAACCCCCCAAATGCTTCCCTGCAGCTCCCATGCCGTTTGCCAGCCCCGGCATTGTCTTTTATGGTGGTTCAAGCCTGCCGTCTGCCAGCCCGCAAAACCCCCCAAATGCTTCCCTGCAGCTCCCATGCCGTTTGCCAGCCCCGGCATTGTCCTTTTATGGTGGTTCAAGCCTGCCGTTTGCCAGCCCGCAAAACCCCCCAAATGCTTCCCTGCAGCTCCCATGCCGTTTGCCAGCCCCGGCATTGTCCTTTTATGGTGGTTCAAGCCTGCCGTCTGCCAGCCCGCAAAACCCCCCAAATGCTTCCCTGCAGCTCCCATGCCGTTTGCCAGCCCCGGCATTGTCCTTTTATGGTGGTTCAAGCCTGCCGTTTGCCCGCCCGCAAAACCCCGCAAATGCTTCCCTGCAGCTCCCATGCCGTTTGCCAGCCCCGGCATTGTCCTTTTCTGGGGGTTCCAGCGTGCCGTTTGCCAGCCGCAAAACTCCCAAACGCTTCTCTGCAGCTCCCATGCCGTTTGCCAGCTGCGACATTGTCTTTTTATGGGGGTTCAAGCCTGCGTTTTGGAGCCTTCCAAACGCCCAAAGTCCTCAAAACTCCCCTAACGCTTCCCTGCAACTCCCACGCGCCACTCGGGCCGCGGCAGACCCATCCTGCAGCTTCGACAAGTCCTTCAGGCCGTGGCATTGGGTTCCAGGCGCCGTCTGCGCGCCTGCAACACTTGCACACGCCTGCGTGCAGGCAGCCTCCATGCAGTTGGTGCTCGACAGCCCAATGGCTTTCATTTCTTTTTTGTTTTCGTTGTCTTTGTCTCGGGAACGTGCCATTGCTTGTTGTGACATGGTTTTCCCGATGGCATGTCATGCTTGACAGCAATGCGGCCACGTGACAGCGATGACCAAACAACAGTGGAGCAGACGGGGCAACTGTGCGCATGACGCCGTGTCTGCTTGCTGACTGCACCGTCCTTGACATAAAATTGATTGTTGCACACAGATCGATGGTTGATTTGCCCTGTCTCCACATTGCTGTTCACAAGTCCACTGCAAAATGGGCACTGGTAAGCAAAACTTTTTCCTGCGACAACGCCGTCCTTTACCGAAAATTTATGCCCACAGACACCCCGGTGGTCGATTTGCCCTGTCTTCACATTGCTGTCACAAGGCCACTGCAGAATGGGCATTTGTAAACAACAGATTCCTCTGCCACAACACCGTCTTTCACTCGGAATCGCTTCCCGCAGGTTCGCCGATGATCTACTTCCCCTGTGCATATTCTGCTGATCACTGACTGCGCGCAAGCAGGACAGACATATTTGAAACTCTGTCCCCTCTTGTTACTTCATCAATTTTGGCCTCTCTACCTATCTATCCATCCATCCATCCATCCATCCATCCATCTATCTATCTCTCTCCCTCTCTCTGCAGGACCCCCCAAATAGGGGGGGTCGGCGGCACCCGGGCGCTAGCCCATTCTATAAAACACCCCAGTGTTGGCGAGATTTCATGATGAGGAGGTGAAACCCTCAAATGGGACCGTCATTCAAATGTTTTTCGTCTAAAGGAGATCAACCAAACATCAAATTGGCCAACTTCAAATTTCAAAAAATTGAAAATGGAACCCTGGTTTTTGGTATTTGGGGAATGTGTAGTAATAGGTGGAAGGGAGTGTTTTATTTTCTGACATCGACTTGGTGGCGTTTTTGTCTCAAGCACCATGTGTGAGACTTGCGTCGTTGAAAGCCTTTGTCTACACAACCAAAAAAAATAAAATGAAACAAGTTCGCAAACACAATCGTAAATGCATAATATCAAAATTAAGTTGACTTACAACAGTGATCATGAGAACTGGGAGATCAGCAGCAGAATGACAACACTAGGAACATGAGGAACCCAGCCAGCCATCGTCAACTATTGGACGGCAAGATTTTTGGATATTACATATCCTCATTCTTGGCCGGTCTTTCTCATTGTTGGATCTGTTGGCCAACATTAGTCCAAGTCCCAAGTTGTTGTTTTGATCGGTCCAATTCTCCCAATTGTCTTGCCTTCCCCATACCTCGGGATTCCCATCATTTCAAGTTTTCGGCGAAAACTCGCATTTGGAATATATCACGAAATATGTAACCGTACATTAACGGTGCTATATTGTGTGTATATATATATATAGATAATGTGGTTAAAACAATCATAAAACATCCCCTAAGTTGGTACAAACCATTCCCAGTCATGGTTGGTAAAAATTGCATTGTTGGCATAACCACATTACCACTGTATTCGCCTCCAAGGTACAATGGTTCCAAGTCCAACACCACCGTGCCACTGATGCCATCGAGTTCCAGCACAGTGCTGAACGGAGATGTCGTAATCTGGTCGTAGGTGGGCGCCGCTGGCCGTTCCGTGGTGGGCCGCAGGGCCCAGGGATAGGCGTCGCAGAAGATGTGGCCCGGGCTCTTGCTGACGCTGACCGTCAAGGACGCGCTCCTGACCGAAGGGTTTCGACATTCCAGAAATCGCGTTTTACTGTGGATTAACCAGCCCAAAGTAAGAATATCATGAGATTTTCAGGAGGATTGTTAACCAACAATATGTTGGATTGTTAATTTGGGCCTGTCTGAAAGTGGAATGTTTGGTGTAACACAAACACACACACACACACATATATATATATAATTATAATGCATTATATATATATATATATATTAGAAATATACCCATAAACATTGCAATTTTAGTAGTGGAACTGATGAGTAACCAGTCGATTTCCGGGTGTATATACTCTATTTTCAGACAAGCTCACATTGATGCGCAGCGATGGTATTTAGTTGATAAATGTTGATAACCACGGTTGTAGATCTTTGAATGGTCTTGAATGTGCAGTCCAGGCATGGTAAGGATAACTTGATAACCATGTGTTAACAAATATGTTTTTCCAACGCCATGATAAGCAATTAAATTCTATGTAGGGATAACTCCAGCAGTTTTGGACCAATCAGCTCGTCTGAACCGTTTCGAACACATGGAAGTCCATAAACTGCAAAGATTTGACGATCCAGCCATGAACCTTTAGCGTTTCCAAGTTACTGTAACTCTTCTAGGGGTGTATCAATTTTGTGCGTTGGTGTTGCTATAATCCTTAATACCATATTAATCTATATTACTATTATATATGATAACAATGTATACCATTCTATATCCATATAACCCCATATAAACCCATACCATATTCCATGTTTGATTCTCCAAACCAAATTCAGCCGAAGCCGAATCGTCATGGTGATATGGGTGGCAGGCACCATCCAAGTCTCTGATATCCTACCACGGTGGACATAATACTCACCACCGGGTATGGAGTGGTGATGAGTTTCGCGTCGGTCTCATTGGAGAAATCGTCGTACCTGCGACCAGATCGACCGGCTGATGGAGATAATTCGCTCGGGGGATTCCCATTGCAATGTTTGATTACGGGAGGGTAAATCCCAGTTGTAACTTGAGTAGTGGTACCCAAAAATATCCCCTTGATGGGGGGTTGTAGCAAATGTGACTTCATTTGTTCTCAACCATTCGTGCTACTTTTCTGCGGTTAAAAGTTCGCATTACCCAAACTCGTTGGCGTTTCAAACTTGTCAAGACCTGATGTGAAGAAGTGTCAAAGAGATCCACAGGTTAAAGATTGCTAATTTTGAAAGAATGAAACCCATTTTACTAACCTAGTAAATCTAGTAACCTTAGTAACCCATTTTACTCAAGGTTTGCACTTTGCATATCCGTTCTCCCAGCAGGCGGCTTCGGCGCCTGGCTGTGCACCAAATTTCATAGGAGATGTTGGGGTCCAACCTGAGATCCAAAAGTTCACCAAACTTTGTACAGTAAACTTCTGAAAACCCAAATAGATCGGTTTGTTCACTCCGGACTTCATAAACACCCTCAGTTTATTGGAAACAAGTGGCTCCCAAATAGAGAGATTTCCCTTAGTTTCAATTCAAACCTTCATATACACATGGTGACCCACCCAACTATATAGTGAACTAGTGGTGTTTCATCGGAAATTCATCGGTAAATGCTGTATTTTCCAGTGCCACGTTTGATTGCCAGGAGGTAATCTACCAAAAAAAAAAGGACATTTCAAACGGTGGTGGATGGAGCTGAAAAGGGTGAATAACCCAAGGTGTAACACACACACAAATCATCTTAACTTCCAGGATTTAAAACATGGTTTCATCCCAAAGCAATCTAGGAAAAAACAAATCCATGGATGTTGAAGTTGGCACTCGTGATCCAATTAGATGTCAAATAAATCACGCCACTCAGTCTGCCCCTTTTCGAATGAGGTTTCGGCCTTTTCGACCTCGAAGAAATCATGACCCATCCCGCAGCAACCAAGACGCTCCCCAAACTCCGCCACCACATCATTCTGCAGATCCGTCACCTTCCCTCGATCCGCCATGTCCTCAAGCAGTGGCACATCCGGCACGCCACTCAGGATGATGCTTTCGGAAGGGAAGACCTGGCAGAAAAAGTAGCCCAACCTGCCAGCGATCTCGGATCATCCGACTGTAACGGGTGAATCTAAATTACTAGCCCTGGTGGATAAGCCCGCATTCAGTGGGATTATCATATTAACAACTGGGTGACAAGTATGGTTACCAATTCCTACTATGATCCTCCTAGTATGGCTTCATGTGAGAGCCGTTCGAAAGATCTGTTTCTTTTAATATCTGCCAGGATAAGGCTTGCTTGATCGTTTCTGCTCTTTTAGGTGGGAAAGCGATGTGTTCCAAGAGGGAATGCAACTAGAATTTTTAAAAACCTTGGGAGGTGCAGCTGCTGTCTTCACTGCGTCTGCATGGTGGATAGCACACCCTTTTTAATCCAACAGCTTAGGAAATCATTGTCTCATTGAAGTAGCAATTTTGGGTATGTCCCCTTTCTGGTCCAATTACCCCCATTATACCCCTATCATATCCAATTGTTTCATCATTTTTGTGTGCTAAATCCCAACTTTTACTGGTTAAGCAAGCATTTTCTTGCTTTACTCTCCATGTTGGCTGGTCAAATCCCAATCTTTATCATAGATAAAAATCACCATTTCTCCACAATGCTTGATGCCTAGCATCACAGATCACCATTTCTTCAGGTCCCTCGCCGTGGCCTCGTTGCTTGGATGCTGCTGGTCATCACATGGAACTGGGGATCTTCTTTGCTTTCGCCACGCGTGATGCTCATGCCCCCAATGGTCACCTTGCGGGATCGGGTTGATGGAGGTTAGTTCACCAACCTATAAATATTATATATATATCATATAATGGTGATATAGTCTGCATATCATATGATATAATGGAATATATATATATATATGTGTGTAATATGATTTTGGGGTTGTCTCAAAACGGGGGACACCCCAAAATTGCAAATCTTATGGGGAAGGTTATGATAAAACGTAGAATCAACCTGACAAGCCTAAATGGGTTGGTCGGAGAATAGGGTGCCACCAACAGCCAGTGGCTTGCCATCGTTCTCCCTTTAAGAAACTTGCTTTGGAAGCATTCCCCATTTCATTTCACGCCCAGGCGCCCGGAAAAAAAAATCCAAAATACCCTCTGGTTATTTAACATAGCCATGGAAAAGATGGTTTACCTATTAAAAATGGTGATTTTCCATGGCTATGTTAAATAACCAGATGGTATGTCTATTAGTCTATTAATGATCCATTGCCAAATATGCCAAATCAAATTACCGGAGGGAAACCGGCATGAGGGTGGAGTTGATCCTACAAAAAAGGAGACAAACTCTGTGCCCAATGGGTTCAGATTACAAGCCACGTCTTATGTCACCAAAGAAACATCCAGCAACGTATGCTCACTCAGTGGAACTCGTACCACAAGATTGCAATGTCAAAGACAAACATAGTGCTTTATTAATCATCTTGCAATGAGTCAGGTTTCCAATATTTTACTGAAAAACCTCGGGATTTCAGGCATGCCCTCATCCAGGTTGAGATGGGACGGGCAGAGAAACATGTTTTGTGTAAAAACCATTGGTTTGTGGGAAACTAAAGAGAAATTGTGGTCGCTATACCTCCCAAATGGGGAAACACGACTAGCCAATTTCGGAGTGTCAAATCCATTTTGGTGAGATAAACCCAAGGCTCCAAACCACAATTTTCACATGGGAATAGAACAAAACAAGCAAGCACCATCCCATATTTTCACATAATTGGGAGGTGAGCCTCCATTTCTTGCGAGATAAACTTACCATTTGGTGTGGGACACATCATGTGACATGCTCCCAAAATTGGGAGGCAAAACCATGGCATAAAAAGGCCCTAAAACCATCTGTTGTTCAAGGGAACTGTTCTGAACAACAGCTTGGAGACCATTTTGGCAAGTCTCGGTTTTTCTGAAACATAAACCCACCATTTTGTGCAGGAATCCAGGCAAAACCCTATTGTCCGTGTTTGTTGTCCATGTTTGTTGGTCTGAAATCACCATTCAGCACTGCTGTTTTCTTCAAGGAAAACAAAACACATACCATCTGGATATTTAACATAGCCATGGAAAATCACCATTTTAATAAGTAAACCATCTATAAATGGGCCATTTCCCATGGCTATGTTAGTCATAACCAGAGGGTAAATTAATATAAATGATTGATGATGATTGCCATGGGATTTTCCCATCCAAAATGACAACTATATGTGTTGTTCCCCTGAAAATGGGATACCCCATTCCATTGTTAACCAGAATTTTCCCTGTGAAATATATGTGTAAGTGGCAGTGGTAGGCCTAATTTCATGAAACATCCCTAATATCACCGTGTTTATGGGATTTTAGTAATTATTCCCAATGGTAGGTTTACGGCATTGGGTTGCACCACGTTGCACCCCTGCACCGGTTCTTTAGGTAGCCGTTGGGAATGGCCCATTTAGGTCAATGATTACGTATTAACAATGGTGACACCGTTATCTTAGTACCATTTACCAATACGAACGATTACAAACCATCACTATTGAATTAACCACTATTAACATCTATTAACCACTGTATATGACCACCCTGCAAAATTATCTTAGGTTATATATGGTTATATCATGTGATACATCACCCTGCAAAATACCTACAGGGGCTCGGGCGGCGTGGGCCGCGCCTCGCCACTGGTGGTGTTGAGCCGACGCCGCGTGACGTCGATCTGCGCTTGGATCGACGAGAGCCCGCCATCGGCCTCGGCCACACAGGCCACCTGGGCGGTGCGAAGTGTGGTGATGGGCTGGGGGGGATGAAAGATTGGTTTTAATATAGCATATATATTATGTATAGACCATATATTTAATATATGGTAATAATAGTACTATATTTAATATAGATGCACTAGAAAAAATTGTACTTTGACCATGACAAAGGGTATTTAAACCATCTTTAAACCATCTTTAAACCATCAAACATGGTATTTTACCCATCAAAAATGGACAATTACTGAACTGGTGTATTCATGGACATTCATGGTCAAATATGGGGTTTTCTGGCTAAATGTGTGCCTTCAGCCAAATTCATAGCATGACGACAACTCATCTGCGGCTGTAAAAACGTCTTGGGGGGTCACCTGCGCCTCCATCCATGATATCAATCTTAGATGCGCAATGATGCGCATATATATATATATATATTATAGATACTTGTATATACACACCTTCATCCATACTCCATTATCAACAAGCTTGTTTATAATTGCATATAATTGTCGATAGATGTGTGCGTATATAATGTAATGTAATATAATGTAATGTAATGTAATGTATTGTACTGTAATGTAATGTAATGTAATGTATGTAGGTAGGTAGGTAGTTATGTAGGTATGTACGTAGGTATGTATGTATACCTGATGTTTTCTCCTATATGTGCATATATATATATATATAATGCAATGTGGTAAAAGCATCATCCTAAACATACCTCAATGTCTTGATGTCTTGATATGTCACTGGCGAGCCATGGCTTCGCCGCACCTGGTACTGGGTTGAGGTTGCGAGACCAGTGATGATGATCACGATGCTCTGCCCACCCACCGTGGCGAGATTTGAAAAGCCATCCTGGGAGAAATGGCTGGAGAAATGGCTGGAGAAATGGCTGGAGAAATGGGGAAACCCCAGGAACATATCTATGATTACTGGATTAGGGTAATATGATCTATGAATTTCCCTTTGACAAATTGGACTGGAAGGTAGGCTCTAAGCGGGCTTTGCATGCTGGTCATGTCTACCAGTCAACCATCCCAATTTGGCAAATGTTGCAAAATGTTGAAAAATGGTGGTTATGTTCCGTTGAGGTATACCCAACTAGGTTTGAGTGCCAAACCCGTCGGTTAGCTGGTGCCAGCTTGGTAAGGAGACATTTCAAGTGCTTAAATTGGAGGTACCTAACATCCATGTCAGCTCTATATACGGTGACTGGTAACCCTGTAAAAGGCCTTCAGGGAATACCTCCCGCAAAATATGCCTGACATGGCGAAGGACCTCATATGTAGAAACCATTGCTGTTTGGGAAGCGGGGTTGTTAGTACAGATAGGATCAGCTGGGTTATGCGCATGACTGAATTTATGATATATGATGATCCAATACAGTCACTTTCCATCATGGGAACCCCAATCCCACCCAGCAACCGAGACTGAACAAATCTTCATAAACCCCTATAACCAACCCCTATGCCCCAAAATACTGTACCAGGCGCCAAACAATCCTGAATACAGTTCCAAACCAGACAACTAACAAACATCCAAACTTCTAGGTTTAATTATCAGTGCGCATATCAATAGTTGGCTTTGTATAGTTTGGTTATTATCTTAGTTTAAAACCATTTCTATTGGTCTGCCAATACCACTGCAGAAACATACCCCCATTCATCCCCAATTTTGATGCTTAAAGTTAAACTATTAAGTTAAATAAACTTTATTAAAGCACACTAAAACCCAGTGTCCAGTAGACTCCAGTAGTATCCAGTGATCAAACTTCCACGTCGAAGTTTCACTCGGTGAAGCCCTCGAGTTCTGTTTGAGAACTCGAACCCATTGGAATATCATAGTAGTATAGCAATAGTAATATTATAGTAATATTATAGTAATATTATAGTAATATTATAGTAATATTAAAATAATATTATAATAATATTATAGTAATATTATAGTAATATTATAGTAATATTATAGTAATATTATACTAATATTATACTAATATTAGAGTAAAAATAATGATATTATAATCATATTATAGTAATATTATAGTAATATTATAGTAATATTATAGTAATATTATGATAAAATAAAAATAATATTAAAGTAATATTATAATAATATAAAAGAATTTTATAGTAATATTATAGTAATATTATAGTAATATTATAGTAATCTTATAGTAATATTATAGTAATATTATAGTAATATTTTAGTAATATTATAGTAATCTTATAGTAATATTATAGTAATATTATAGTAATATTATAGCAAAAATAATAATATAATAATAGTATTATAGTAATATTATAGTAATATTATAGTAATATTAAGAGTAATATTAAGAGTAATATTATAATAAAATAATATTAATAATATAGTAATATAATAATAGTACTATAGAAAATTATAGTAATATTATAGTAATATTATAGTAGTATTATAGTAATATTATAGTAGTATTATAGTAATATCATAATAATATTATAGCAATAATATATATATATATATCAAACATCCATCATTTGTTGTGGACCATCACTGGTCAATAACAATCTTGAAAAATATGAGTTCGTCAATGGGAAGGATGACATCCCATATATGAAATGGAAAATATAACATGTTTGAAACCACCAACCAGTACAATATGTATATATATATATAACATATAGTATATTAAAATACCATTATAGTATATTATAGTAAATATTATAGCAATATTATAGTTATATCCCCAAAAAATCAGAATAAATCCCCGGAAATTCACCTGGGGATACCTGGCCCGGGGCGATGAAATTCTCCCAGCCACTTCTTGTACCTCCTCAGCCGTCACCAGCACCGCCTCCGTCCCGTTGATCTGCCGCGTGTGGCAGAAGATGCGCCCCGTGCGCGAGGATGCAGCCACCACGCCCACGGAATTCTGCTTGGCCCAGCCACCCAACATAACAACCGCAGGGGGGTCCGTGCTGCCACAGTCCTGGGTGGTTGAGTTGGGGAGGATTCTGCAAATCTCTTCAAGAAAAAAAAGGGTCTGAGTTGTCATATGTCAGAAATATGTTGTCATATGTCAGAAATATGTTGTAATCCTTGAAGGAAAACATTAGGTGTTAAAACTGGCAAACTGCATACTTCACTAGGGTAGGGTTGATTGCTGTTCAATGGGTTGACCAAGCAAGCGAAACCACAGCAGAACAAGGTGTCGGGCAAGAGCCCATTCTGCCTGAGACGCTGGTTGGGGAGAGATGCAATTTGTCGGTTTCATTTGATTGTTTCATGGCTGCATCATGTCCAGGCACCTGACTGTTCAATTAGCAGCATTCATGACACACATCATCCGGATTGCAGTTCCAGGGTTCCAAACTTTGGTCACCAAAACTAGTAACTTCCGATGGCAACTGTGGGGTTGTTGCCTTTCCATGAGGTGAAACCCCGATGATAGAGCTGCGGTAATGGACTGGATGAGTTCCGAATGTGGAACAAAACAAATACATAAGGTGAAAGCGGACCTCAGTCCCACCAAACCTGCATGTGTTGGCCCACTGAATGCTGGGGTTGAAGTTTGTCGACGTGGCCTGCACCGATGGTTTCGTTGCGTTTCGATAAATTGATCAACATGGTGCACTGACGTTTCTTCTCGAGCCGAGGTGTTGGCCATGGATCGAAACAGGTTCGAAAAAGGATTATCCAATTATACTCCATCATTGAACTAGGTGTTTTACATGGAGCCTTAAAATATACAAGATACACAAAATTATAGAATCTCATAGAATCTCATAGAATCTCTAACACCATCAATCATCAACCTCGAGCCGACTCCAGCCAAAGCTCGGTACAGCCCTCCGTTCTCTGCGTGACTCGAGTGGCAGTGATGGTGCTCATGTTGGAATGCAATCCGTCACCCGGCTCTTCCACTGTACCTTTGCATCTCGGATCGCCCAGGGGAGAAAAAAGGAGAGAAGTTGCACCCGAACATGAGCATGAAGAGCATGAACATGGGCAAATGAATCATCTGAATCGATGTGTAAAGGTGACAAGTGAACACATGTCTTATGATTATATCTACAAATTAAAATTGTATTCCTTATGCTTCGTGTATGGAAAATTTACCAACATTTTCCCAATAGGGTCCAAATGTTTGAAAATATGTCAGCACCATGGAGCATGCATGAGGCGGCTGTTGATTTTTCTATATAATAATATGAGGGTGTGATTTCACGTGTGCTGTATCATTGAGTCGAAGATCAAGCATCTGCAGCATGTTATGCATCTGTTCGATTATTTTAGTAGCTGCTTAGTAAGGCTCAACAAGGCTTATGTCTTGGCTTCGTCTTGGGTGGGCTATCATTCACATTCATTGGCATTCATTGACTCATATCTTCGCAATGATCCATGTGCTAGGAGGCACTGATGCCTCCAGGGCATCATCACATTATCATCACAGCGTTGAAGAATGTTAAAGACAAGGGGCAGTAGACATTGTACAAGGTCCCTGGCAGCAACATGCCTGGCCAATGGCATGGCTAAGGCCACCTGCTTAGCTGCATCATAATCTGTGACAGCTTGTGGGGGCTTGAAATCACCGACAAAGAATAAAACGAGCTCCGAAAAAATGAATACATTCATTTGGTATCATATGGTATACAATTATAAATTATAAACTGTACACAAATGAAGGGCTTTCACAGAGCTAGTTTGTTCATGTTCGTTCCATGTGAGGACTCTTAGCCTTGAATCAACTTCAGCTACCTCCCCTATGGACCAAATGTCATCTCTTGCCCATGACTGCAGTCAGCTGGATCCATCGGCCTTTTTGGTGTTATGGTTTGGTTTGTAACGGGGGTCTACACCAACAAAAATAGCAATTTCACTGGGAGACATGCGTTATCAATCTTCAGGGTGGCAATTACATGCAAGCATCATTGGACTTTACTGAAAGATAACCCACACACACACCAAAAAAAAAAACAGGCCTGGCACATCCATTTGGTGAAGTCAAATGCTTACTTAGATCAAGCTGCATCAACCTCATTCTGCAGATTCCTCAGACCAAAACCATCTGCCCCTTTCATTGGCCAGCTGTCGGTGCCAGTGGCATCCCTCGTTTGCCTGAATAGGTCATGGTGGAAACGGTGGGCACCAATACTCGCTCCTTCAATTGTAAGGAAGCAAAGTTGTTTCCCGGCAACCTCAGTGCGGGTCCCAAGCAATTTCCACTGGCGAAATTGCCACCCATGGGGACGACCTTCCAAAAACGCGATGCAAATTTAACCAACCAAAAGGTTTTGAACATCGGTGCCACACCCAAGATGGAGAGTCAAATTTAACCCCAGCAAGTACAAAAGGGCCGCCCTGGCAGCACGTTGAGGAAACTCAACTGCAAAATCAGACAACAAACTCAAAAAAACATGAAAGACCCGGGCTAGATCTACGAAAATGAGAACGCAGAGTTTTATTTTCTATGATATTCAATTACTTACTCAATAATCTGCAATAATTTGCACAAATATAAATATACCAAATACACACACACACATTATATATATATATATATGGAATGATTGAAAGGATAAAACATGGCAAGTTGGTGGGCCAAGGAGCCGCACGGAAGCGTTAAAACTGGCATTCATCAGCTTACCTCGGATGGACCCGGATCCCAGAGATTGCTGGGGAATGCTGGGGATATATCGATGTGGTACCCTTCCGGTCATTTCGCAAAGCAATGGAAAATTTAGGTAATTTACCATCTTTACCAAACTATTTGCCTCTGAAACAGGGCGATGTAACATCGCCGGCTCAATGTTCCATAGCTATGTTGAATTGTGTTGAAGTAAGGGTAACCCCAAACATGTTTCAGGTTTATAGTGGGTGGAATAAAAGGACAATTGGGTATGATGTTGTCAGGCCTCGACTCCGCAAATCGGTGCCCTCGAACCTGGCAATTCTCCTTATTTTTGATTCATATATAGCCTTCTCTAATGTCGATAAATGCGAATGCCTGGAAAGTTGTATATATATATAATTATATATATATATATATACAGATGCATGTGTGTGTGATTGAGGAGAGGGGGGAGGAAAAAAAAAACGGGCACTTCTTAATCATACAAAACGCCAATCTTCTGATAATTCTCATACCAATACACCTAGAAATTAAGTTCCCCCTCCTCATCTTTCTCCAAATTCTCATGTCTCGGTCATATTCTCTCTCTCTTTCTCTCCCTCCCTCCCCCTACCGTGGTTTGCAGGAGGAACCTTATATCATTTAGTTCCAAGCGTACTTTTTTGCTTGGTGTTCACTCCCGCATCTTGCTGCTTCAACTCACATTCCTTTGGGTAGGACCGGGTTCTTGTTGGCTCGGTTCCTATTTTGGATGTGAAATGCCACCTTTTGGTTCCGTTTTTCACATCTTGTCACCTACAAGTACATCCTAGTTTCTGTTAGTGAACCCCTGCCTTTCTTGGTTCAATCATGTTCAATCATGTTCAATCCACCGTGAGATCCACGTTTTGTTGGTTCAAGCTTCACAGATTTTACATTCGTAGTTTGTTTTATCATGATTCACATTTTGCCGTCGTTTTTTCTATCAATGTGATACAGGTCCGCATGTTTGCTTACCCTCTGATAATTTAACATATAGCTATTAAAAATTGCCATTTATATAGTATAGTTGATTTACCTATCAAAAATGGTGGACCTTTCCATTTTGCAAACTCTTAGTTTACCGGTAAATCATGACCTTTACCACTTGGACCTCGCCATGGCCTTTCCACCATGGCCACGGCCATGCTACAGTTGGTGGAGGTCACGATGTCAAAACCTTGGGCCCACCAAACGATGGCTGCACACCTCAGCCCCGAAGCTTGAGCGTGGCGGCGAGCTGTTGGCACTCCGAATAGGAGCCTATTCGACTGACTAAGGACTGGGATTGAAAAACATAGCTATATAATCTGGTTGGTGGTATACCCCTCCGAAAAATCATGGACTTCGTCAGTTGGTATGACATGACATTCCCAACGGAAAGTCATAAATTCCATGGTTCCAAAGCACCAACCAGATATCTCAGTAACATTTTAATAGGTAAATCATTCATAAATGGTCCATTCTCCATAGCTATGTTAGTTTACTGGAGGGTATATTATATGGAACTCCATGGATCTAAAGCCCATCTCCACGTTGAAGGGATCGGGTTTACTTCGCGCTGCTTCATATTTGAGATACTTAGGCATTGTACCTAAGCATAAGATGTTCCACATGGACACACCCGGGGCCCAAGATGGCACATGACCAACCACAGGATCTCTTGGAAGTGGTAGTATCAGGTAATATGCCAATGTTTGCTGATTATTGATGGCTGAAAGTCCCCTCAAACAACAATCAAACCACTGACACATCATATTATCAATATTACTTATATAACATTCAATCTTATTATTTTCGGCATTTAAGGACCGATGATCAATAAAAGAACGTTGATCTTGCTATTATATTTAACTGATTGAAGGAGAACAATGTTGGACCGTGGTAAAACCATGGTTTCCTCTTGTAATCCTTCAACCAATTTGATGAAACTGTCTCGGCTACCCGAGTAGGATGGAACATTGCCAAACATAGCAATGAAACCACCGCAAATGATGTAGGATATTTGACAGACCTGAAAAAAGAAAACACCTCCGGCTTGGGGTGGTTTTCATGTTTGTTTTTACATTTTTTTAGCTATCATCTCTGATATGTCAATCCGGTCCGGCCATTTGTTCAGTGAAACCCATTCCGGAAATGGATCCCGCCTCTACTTGCTCGATGTCACATTTCTCAAACCCTGGCACGCTATCTTCTTAAACCATCTTCACGGAATTCCAAACCGTGTTCATCGCCTTTTCGCTTTTCTGTTGATGTATCCCAATTTCAACATGACATTTTCTATACATGTTTGGTCATTAAAAAATTGGCATTTTTACCAGTTGTCTGGTGATATCATCCTCCTCTCCACCGCCGCCAGAAGAGCCACTCGGGGATGTTGGAACACTCGTTTTGACATTCGTCCAAATTCGCCACATCCACCCGGTACAAGGCGGGATAGTCGATCTCTTGGTTGGTGAATTCGGTGTCACCCACGGTCTGGTAACCTGTAACGGGAAACGGAGAATGACGGGGAACGGAACACCACAGCGGGCTAAGCCAATTTGAGGTTTTTCCGAGGCGTGACCAATGAAAACATGTTTGGCCTAGAAGCAGGCAGAATGGGGATTTGATTCGACAAAGAAGTAGGTATGGGGAGCCAACCGCCAAAAAAAAGGACTTGAACAAAGGCTGTGTGGCCAAATCATGACCGCAATTCGAATCTGTCTTTGAGCTATCATGGGAATATATATATATATTATTAGAGATAGGTGGATATGGTGTGACTTTTTTCACTAGCTATGCCCAGGCTGGCGCGAAACAACAACAACAACCAACAAATACATACAAATACACAACCAGCATTTTTTGGGGGACAAGTCAGCAAGAGCATAATTTTCATAACTACCCTCTTGTAATCAAATTCAGTTCGATGACTTTCCTGTTAGTCAGCCTCCATTTAGTGCGGGGATGTCCCAGGGATTTCGCCGATTTCGCCAAGGGTGTTGATCCAGCACCCAGAAGAAGCATGGGCCCATGGTTGGATAAACGATTTACCTTGATTTAGATAAAGTATACAAAGCCAAATATGTAATAAATATGTATATTCATTCCATACTGTATAATGTCAACCCTGGATTAATAAACCGGGTGTTTAATTGGGAGGGTACCATTTAAGTATCAGAGTATGCCTATTGGAGGAGTACCCCCTAAGTAATAAACCATGGTTTATTAATCCGGGGTTAACAATATATATATATATATATGTGTGTATATTATATATATATATCCTATGGACCCAAGCGTACCTTCTGGAGTATGACTGGGGTATCTCTCTCAGGGGGTGAAACACCCTCGGGAAGCGTTTGGATCCATCGGTTCCTCTAAATCAAATCCTGGGAATGGTACCTTCAAATCCTCATCTAGTCTGCGATGCTAGCCGAGCCTCATGCCTCAAGTAGTAGAGTTCAATCATGCAGATGCTGCTGATTAGAAGGTGATTCAGGAGAAACCACTGAATGTGGCAAAAGAAATAGACTATTTTCCCTGGGGGCACGGTGGAAAAAATTACCGTCTGGTTATTTAACAGTTTGCCATGGAAAGATCCACCATTTTTAAGAACGGTAAACCATCTATTTCTATGGTCCATTTATACCATGGCTATGTTAGTCATAACCAGAGGGTATGTCATCGTATGTCATCATACCTCACATATGGAGGAAATCGGAAGTCTTGGGCCCAACGGGTGTCCCAAATGCAGCTTAGCATCGGATTAGTTAAGACTGCGGCTTTCACCAGGTCCCATTTGGCCCAACCTTTGATACCCTGCAAAAGATTATCGATCACCAGCCGCTGTACCCAAATGTCCAATTTTTGCTGGCGAATATCCCAATGTTTCTTCATTTTTGGTGGTTGATATCCCCATACCGGTGAAACTATATACTCAAGGTTTCCCGACTCCCTTCTATATACATGTTTCAGTACATGTGAATATCCCATGCCTGTTTGTGACAGTACCCAAAGCTTCACAATGTTTCAGCTATACGGGTATTCTTACAGTAATCATAATTTTCCTCATTGAATAGACTTGTTGGGGGGGTCTACCCCCATTTTCAGACACACCCAGAGGAACAGTGTTCAAAACCCTCTGTCGTCCTATGCCAGTTGGTTGAGAACAGGATTCTCATCATGGACCATGATAAGTTCCAATACATTGGTCAGTATAACTCCCGAACTTATCATCAACCAACAGGGATAAGTGGAACAGTGCTCATACCCTCCGGGATTATCAAACGTAGCTGATGCCCTGGCTGGAAAATCTCCTTCCAGTGGAGGATTGAGTAAGAGAAAACCAGTTATATACATTGACCAATGGTGGATTTTCCAGTGCCACGATCATAAAGCAGCATTATATGATCACCATTAGCCATCATAAAATTAACCATTTTTAGCTGGTTGAACATGCCGAAATCCCCAATTTTTGCGCAGCCAGGCGGCCAAAGGCCGATCCCTGCATTCCAAGACTTCGAACGCCCCAGCTTTTCAACTCCTTGGATCTGCAGTCGCTGGAAAATCCCCCATGTATATGCTGACGATGCTGACGACCTGGACGAAACATGTGTTTTTGCGATATTTCTGGACACAACATGTTTTCTTGTATTGCCGTCCTACAAATGATGTTACGTTGTGCATGTATGGGGTGTGGTGGAGTGGAGGGGCTGAGGTTGGCTGACAATGATCATTCTCCTGTGATCATCTATATGCGTCTTCCAACACGCTCTTGGTGCTACGCTCTGAACTTGCTCTTGGAACTTCCAGCATGCTCTTGATGCTACGTTCTTAACTGGTTTTTGGAACTTCCAACACGCTCGTGATGCTGCGCTCTTAATTTGCTCTTGGAACTTCCAGCACGATCTTGAAGATGCTACGCTCTCAGCTGGTTCTTGGAACTAAATTTTGGGGTGACTTGAAGCAGTTCATTCCCAGGCAAATAGGGGGCAAAGATGTGTAAAGGCTGTCTTTGGAAAGTTTTAGGGGATTTGGTTTCCAGGACATGACAAAAAGGCTCAGGATTGATCTGCGCGTGCTTCTGGTGCATATTCATGTTAGAAAGAAAACGTGTGAACAAATGCCAAAATTCCCAGGTCATTAACGACGTATTGACCATGTTGATGGGCATTTGCATTTTTATATGTTCATGTCAAAAAATGTATTTATAATATATACATATATAATCATATATATTTACCACAAAAATACTGGGTCATTTTGGCAATGAATGCTGGTGAATATTCCAGCATCGGAGCAAATGGGGATGGTAAGACCGATCGAACAAAGCGAACAAAGGTTGTCAAAGATTCCGAAGGGAATGGCATTCAGCAAGAAAAATGCAGTGGCGCATACCCTCTGCTAACGTGCAACCGTTTGCAACAAAAACGCATACCATATCATATAATATAATATCATATCATCATCGAATTTTGAATGGTCCGTCTATACCAATTCCCCATGTGGATTTGTTTCCATCCGACGCTTCCCAATTCCCCATGGTGGGTTTTTTGCAATGGGAAGTTCCCATCATCAAATATGCGGGAAATCCCAAGACTGGGTTCCGAACAAAATAACCATTAAGGTCATTAATCCATCATGTAGCTGTAGCATCTTATAGCCATCACATTCCAACGTAGCTATTGAAAAATATTGAAAATGGCAATTTATAGTTGATTTACCCATGAAACATTGTGATTTTCCATAGTGTTAGTTTACCAAAGGGTAATCCCATTCAAAAAATAGCCATCGTTAGAATCACACATGCCAAGAATCGTTATGCGTGGGCACTCGAAGCTCGTAGCGCACATCCACCACACCGCCTGGGCCAACGGATGGCGATCGATGACCGTATGACCGTATGGGGTGAAACATGGCTAATCCATGTTACAGTAAAGTTTATATACATATAATATATATATATATAAAATTAAATATAACTACAAATAACTATATATAAAACATAAATTATGTTACGGTTTCAAACGCATCTCCTCAAAAGTCAACGCCTCCATGTCTGACAACAAAAATGAACAATCCCAGTCCAAAGCGAGGTTTCTGGTTATTTGTTTGGAAGGGGAAGGATCAATTCAACAGAGAAGTGGGGTATTACAATGGAAATGCTACATTGATAATATCAATTCCGTTTAATTACCAATAAAACAATGACTAATTAATAGGGAGTGGGACGCTGTGGAGGGCCGATCTTTCCAATGTTTTTCGCATGTAATTATTGTTATTCTTATATATATAAATATATATTATATTTCCAACGTTTCTTTCCCTTAGTATCGATGTCGGCTTATAGATCAATAATGTAGTCAAAATACAGCTACATCTCCGTCAACGCTTGATTTTGGTTACATTTGTTGGAACCTGTCGGAAATCCATCGGATTTTGCTGGAAATCGAGAAAAAACCGCAGGCATCCTCTATTTGGAAGATGCGCATGCGAGTTGATCATGGCCATATGCAGTTCAAAATCGTGACAAATCTTGATGAATTATCTTTTTTGCCACTTAAAATTATGACATTTGTCGGAGATACCGTGACAAAACGTGATAAACCGTGATCTGTTCAGGATTGACCGCTCATCTTATATGGGTCCCTGCCGCTTTTCGTTTGTGCTCACAGCATTTTACTGTAAAATTATGGTTACCGCAGATGTTGCCAAATTTTGGCTACGGACGTCAAATAATGCCTACAGACGTCAAAAAACAAGGTTTACCGCAAATGTCAGCAAATAGACCCAACATTGGATCCACAGGGTTTCATAATAAAACAACATCACTTACTGAAGGATTGTCCTTGAACAACTCTTTACACATGCATAAGATAGTTAAGGTGAAAATAAGATGCACCCCGTAATGTTATTTTCTCTTTATTTTTTGAAAAATACGAACGAACCTGTTGCAAACATCATTTTTTTATGTAGAATAAATATTTTGGCAATATTTTGAAGTAAAGCATATCTCTCTCTTCCAAAGCACGTTTCCATTGAAATATCAGCGTAAACTACCGTAGATGGACGAAATATTCAAACCCCTTCTATCCGGTACAACCCCCTCGCCCCCAAAGTTCAATGTCAATGTAACCTGAAGTGTGTTAGCCCCAATGGACGAAAGAAATCAAACCCCTAACATCACTTTTGGTAACACGCGCGCTGAAACATTGAGATTTGGGGGCGCGGGGGTTCAACATAGTGCGTGTTGCAGGGTTTGAATATTTTGTCCATCTACTGTCTCGCTCTCTGATGTTTTCACATCTTTTGGTCTCCAAACTCTGTTGTGGAAACATCACTCTGCATGCTGCTATTCCAAACTGCGCAAAACATCGCCTTTTCATAAGTAAAGGCCTCCTGTCTGTCTCCCGTCCCATTTTTATTCCCTAAGTCCCAACTTATTCCAAGCTGCAGGGAACATTGTGTTTTCACAGCTAAGTGCAACCTTTGTGCTTCCCGTCCCATGTTCTATTCCCTAATTCGCAACTTACTCCAAACTGCAAAAAACATTGTACTTTCACAGGTAAATGCTGCATGCGTCTCTCGTCCCATGTTTTCTTGTTCCCTAATTCACAACTTGTTCCAAAATGCGCAAAACAGTGTGCTTTCACAGGTAAATTTAAAAGTTGCATGTCTCTCTCGTCCCATTTTTTCCTATTCCCTAATTCACGACTAATTCGTTTGACGTGGCCCTCCCAATGGATTTTGCAACTCGAACAGCGTGAGACAGCTGTTGAAAAAAAGATATAGACACTGACTCAGTAAGTAATGGGCCCTATACCAACCCCAAAGACAAATCCCTTAAAAGAAACTACATGAACCCTACCAAACCAACCCTAAATAAATACCAAAACAACCGCGTGCAAGCTTAAATAAATCCAAAAATCTCCAAACCTATCATGAATAAACTCTAAAACCAACCCTGAGATACCCCGAGTAGATCATGAACAAACCCTGAACCAACCCCACATAAACCCCAAGCCAACCCTAAATAAACACTAACTAACCCTAACCCGCCCCCCCCCCGCGCTTTGTGTCATGCTGGAATCCACAACAACAGATTTGATGGCCGCAAACTCAAACATGTGTTTTCTTTCGCAAATCTCAGGCATTATAGAATGCCAGATCACGTTGCTAAAACCTTATAAAGTTGATTACACGTTTTTTGCTTACAAGATTACGTTTCACTCATTTTAGGATGCTTGTCATTTTATAACGAATATACTGTAAAAGTTTGATCGTGTCTTTCAAATTTAATTTAATAGTGTCTTATAAAATGATAATCACGGCCACTTCATAGAAAACAACAAAACATCATTTTGCAAGATGCCTTTGCTCCAATTGGCTATTAAATGACAATTCGATATTATACACGACAGGCTTAAAAGGAACCATAATTTTATAAGGCACAAATATAGTACAAATATCTATCATATTTATTTTGTCTTTTTTTCTGGTACCCGGCCTTTGTGTTGGGCAATTTACCATGTTAGTCACTTTATAGCCCGAAAAAAAGGTGCCGGTTTATAACATGATGACCTTATGGTGGGGTGTCGCCAAAGACAGTTCTCCATTATATAAGTGTGATTGGGGGTCTTAAAAAAAGGCAAACAAAGCGGAAAAATCGACCAAAAACCAATTGAGTTGCGGACCCCGGGCTCCGCCATTTCATAAAGGATACCTAGAGGGGGATGTAACTATATTATATACTTAGTTTGTAACATAATTGTTGAATCAATATTCAGTTTGATAAACCCCAGAAACAAACGCTTCCATCCCTGACCCAGCACTCCTCGGTTTTTTGCCAAGCTGCAATACACATTGGCCGTGCGGTCCACGCTCACCTTCAGGCTGAAACCAGCAGCTGGCTACTAGGGACCGCCATGAAACTGATCCTTCTCTGGTTGGTGGTTTCAACCCACCCCTCTGAAAAATGATGGAGTTCCTCCAGTTGGGATGATGAAATTCCCAATATATGGAAAGTCATAAAATTCATGTTCCAAACCACCAACCAGTATATCATGTCTATATCCTTCTATCCAACGATATCAAGCGATCGTGCAGCGGCGCGAGGGTAGAGTGTCTCAGGCCCACGACTGGAAGGATCACCATGGCATGGCTTTCGAACAGGAATGTCGAACAAAGATAAGGGACACCAGCCACGATAAACAGCTGCCAAATGAATGTGGCTCAAAAATGGGGTAGCACACAAAACAAACGTCTATAATAATTTACAACTGGTCGTTCTTTGTACTTCATCATCTACTTTGCAGGATTATCTTGAGCCATGCATTCAACATTCGGAAAATATTGGGCCTGCAAACAATGGAAAATGTAGCAAAAATAGATATGTTGTCATTTGTTTGTCATTTTTTTCATTCAGGTTTGTCATTTTGGATTTGTGTTGTCATTTCATTGTCATGTTTGGCTTGGGAAATGCAAAACAAATCTTAAAAAATGAGTCCCAATCTGAGAATACAAAAAAAAAAACAATGGCGCAAAAATGACCCCCCCAAAAAAAAAACAAACAAAATACAAAAAAATAACTCGCGTGCTGGCAAGTCGGCTCCGGATCCTGCTTCCCGCGCCGGATGAGAAAACGACAACAAAATGACATCACACATGACAAAACAAATGACAATACAAACAGGAACTACAAAAAAAAAAAACATGACAAACATAAATATTCAAGGACCCTCAGCGTTTGCTGGTAAGATTTGCATAAATTCACCAACAAAAATACCCGCAGTGCCAAGTCACATCGATCTTGGAAATGGATGTGGAGACCTTCACCTCCTTGGAGCGAAGCCAAGCCCAAGCATTACTGACTGACCCCGTGTCACACAATGCTAAATACTCCATGGTGCTGGAATATTTTCCAACATTTCCCCAAAAAATCATCCAAATGAGGGGAAATATACCTAATATACCATGCATGGAACATATGGAAATAATGAGTTCTTTTCCAATCCAATTTATAGTCACATAAGAGTGATGTCACACACAATAGTGTGACACACAATAGTTATTGGGCTGGGTAAATTAGAATATTTCACTAACCTGAATTAAGGCCATTTAGGGATGATTTCCCTATAATGTTGTCTAGCCAATAATGATACCTTGTCAATAGTAGAAACTGTTTTTCCCAACTCCAGTTTTATCTCCAATACTAAAAGTCAATTAGCTTAATTTGATTTTAGTATTGCCAAAAAACTCATGTTCTGACCTTGTCCAGAGGGCATGGCCAATAGTGGACCCAACATGGCAATAGTAGAAACTTTTTTTCCCAACTCCAGTTTTTTCTCCAATACTAAAAGTCAATTAGCCTAATTTATTTTTTAGTATTGCCAAAAAACTCGTGCTCTGACCTTGTCCAGAGGGCATGGTATAGTATCCAGAGCTTAGATTCCAGAAATCTGATCCAATTACCAAACAGCTGATTTCCTTATAAAACCCTTATTTAAAAGAACAAGAAAACAGGTCCACAAAGGGTATCCCCTTTACAAGCCCCAGAACAGCAATAATAAACCTGCACCAGGCATGGCAATAATGAATTCCAATTGTGCTTCCCCTGGTGTTGTTTTCAGGTGTTTGGAGAAAGCAAAGCAAAACCCTGTTGAAAGCAGCAAGCACTTTTCATTAACAAAAGCTTAGATTCCAGAAATCTGATCCAAATTTACTATTGGAATGCTGACCCCCCTAAAAAAAGGACAATTTTCAAAATTTTAGGGGGGGTTATTATTAGGCAGCCAACATTAAAAACCATAATTTACCCAGACTGGGCTATAGATGGCTATAGCTATAGCTTTGCAATTTTTGACCGAAAGGAAACGGCCAAACAATATTAACTCAGCAAGATGCCAAGTTAGAGATTTGTGCAAGGGGCATCTCAACGCCGAGTTTGCCAATAGAAATGGGGTCCCCGTCTCCAAAAAAAATTGCTCTCTGGTAGGTTCACATAGCTATAGAAAATCACCATTGTGCATACGCAAATCATCTGCAAGTCACCAGTGGGTAAATAGATTCGGGAAAAAAACACCAAGTTTCCACAATGGTCAACTCTGGCGCATTCTCTGACGCAAACTGCGTTTCTTCCAGAGGAAGCCGGGTGAACAGTTCGTTGCCCGTCACGGTGTACCTGCAATACCTCAGCTATGGAATACCTATCCGCGCCACCACCCTGCTCCAGTGTCATCAAACATGGCTTGCTGGAAAATCCACCATTTAGTGAAATTTAGTTCAACAACTTCCCTTTTCAAACCTTTGTTTTAAAGAGCATTTTCCAGCTAGTCAAATGGAATACCACGCGTCAAACATGTAGCGGGTTCATTGGTACGCCAATGTTGAGCCATGGCCATTTATAGGTAGATGGAGATGGGTCAAAATTCAACACCATTCAAGCCACAACTGGACTGGAGCAAAAAAAAAAAGCACCCAAGTTTGACACACACATAATCTGTGGATACAACCATAACACACCAGATATGCAGTATGTAGCAAACCATACACGGGATGTCAGGAATCAGCATGGGACTTGAGGAACCAAGATGGGATGCCCCATTCTCCCAAGTTCGGGAGCCTTTGTCATGGCTTTTCGGGGACCTTTTTAAAGGTGGAACATGTGGTCTCAATCCAAGGGAATACCTTAGAGCTTTGGTGCCAACAGTGATGAGAAACCACGGATTGATTCACTGGCTGGATATATCTATATGTATATAGTACATATCATTTAGGTGTACATGTTTATATAATCATATTTTTATGGGTGGGGTACTTTATAAGCACACCAGGGTTTCAATTGCAAGAACGCGCCTGCCAGTGATTCCTCTCAGGGTCCCAAATACTTGGATGTGCATCCTAGTAAGTGCTTCATTATATAAAATAGTGTATGTGTATATATATATATATATATCTGTCTGTGCGTGTGAAGTTATATATACCTGCATATGGGAAACAACTCAATTCATCTCAATTCTACATGGGCTACACATCCGAGCTGGTTGGTCCATTCAACCCTCAGGAACATATCAAAGTCAGTCATCCAGAGTCAGGGCAAATGGAAAATAAAAGGTGATTGAAACCACTACCCTCCGGTAGTCAAACATTGCAATAAAAAATCCGCTGTTTATAGACGATTTTCCATGATTTTCCCATCAACACAACACCTTCGTTTGTAGGTCATTTTCCAGCCAGCAACATTTGATTACCAAATTTAAAGGGTAAGTAGTACCCTCTGGTAATTTAACATAACTATAGAAAATCACCATGTTTAATGGGAAAATCCACTATTTCAATGGCCATTTTCAATAGCAAACTGTTGACATAACCAGAGGGTACCTCTCAGTTTCGTTGGCTTCTGCATCCATGTCGCATGTCACGGGGTCCCGAGATGTTTCCTCCAAACCTGCCGGGTCGGGTCCCACGGCCCCAGAGGCTCCCGGGAAGACGGGAGATGAAAGCTGATGGGGATCAGAAACCCGATGAACACAACCCTCTGGTTATGTCAAAATAGCTATTGAAAATGCCACATTTATAGTGGATTTCCCATTGAAAATGGTGATTTTCCATAGCAAACTGTTAGTTTACCAGAGGGTAATGCCATACCAATACACAATTAAACCCACCATGAAGATGGAACCTGAATATCCGCTTCGAAAGTCAGAAGCCATCCCTATTTTCCATGTTTTTGTCCAGGTTCCATCTTGAGTTGCACGCTTGCAGCCTATCTGGAGGAGGTAGGGAGGCTACCGGCGGCTACCGACTATATACCACCATGTGCTTTCAAGGGGAACCCTGGTTAGTATGCTCCCTAACTGAGTTTTTGTTGAGCTTGTTCAAATTAAAGCTGGACAAGAATATATTATATATATAACTTAACTATAGCCACACATTTGATACTCCAAGTGCCCGAATTACAGAAAGGCCATTTGGACATTGAAATGGTTGCCCCTTACACTCACCATCATTCCAGTGACGTTTTACGCAGGCTTCGGTCGTTACGTCACAGCCGAGCAGCGTGGAAGGATGCAGGCCCAACCAGCGTGCACCCATGCGCTCCCACGCCATTAGAGGATCCTAGTGCTGCGGTGAAGCAAGAACCCAGAAAATCTTGATGCGAACATCTCAAGCCTTCAAAGAAACGAATGGGGTGGGGCAAGTGTTTCGTAGATCTGAATAACCCATATTGGAGGTTTCCTAAAATGGGGGTCTCCCCAAATCATCAATTTTATTTATATAATTAGTATGTTTAGTACAGTAGGATCTTCCCTTATACAATTTTAGGGTGCCCCCAATTTAGGAAACTATCATTGCATACACAGTAAATCACTCTTTCCCTCTCTCCGCGCCATCCGCAAATGCCGGGCTCCAGGTCAAGAAAGTCAATCACCATGTTTCAGGAGGGCCATGTTGCCACATGGTTTTTAGGGACGGCTTGACAACAGAACAGAACACCACTCAGAATGTTGCGCGAATGAAAACAATTCGATGGATCCTGCTGGCTATTCATCACCTGCAGAACCCCCGAAGCCAAACGATTGCGCTCTAGGCTGGAAAATCCCTCATCTATAGATGATCTTCCCATGGTAATACCCATTTACAAAGGATTTCCTATGGATATTAGGTCCCAAAATGCCAAAGAGAGACATCTTTGGATTATTGTCTCAATCCTAACCATCATTGGTGGGCTTTGGCCAGTGTGGTATTACTGGTAGCGACATTTGGGTTTTTCGAGTAGCTGGATTGATGTTCCCGTATCTCTCGACCAACTGGGATAAATCACCCTTTTCCATATCTTATCAGCTACGTCATGATTACCATTTTGCTTGCTGAGAATCAGGTGTTTTCTTACCATACATTTTTTCCGGATGGCCTGCCAGGGAATGTTACTAATATATTCGAAAATATTCGTATCAGTCGGGTATATATTCCCATTAGACTACAATTTGTGTTGTTTTAAACCCCATTGTTTTCATATCAGGCACTTGTCCGGAAAAAACACATGGTTTGCTATTTGGGGGTTTCAATGGGGATACCCCATTAAATGCATGGTTTATAATTGAAATTCCTATGAAAGTCCTATGGACATGGATGATTTATGGGGAGACCCATATTTTAGCAAACCTCCATATGAAAAATGTTGGTTTAACCATGGGAAATCCACGAAAAATAGAGTTTTGTTGAGGAAACCCTTCATTTTTAATCCAAGAAACCCTCCAAGGACAGCAACCCGCAGGCTGCTCAAAGGCCGCCGGCCAGTGTGAATCCTGACATGGGGCGTTTTTGGTCATGAGTCATGGCAAGGGGATTCCTGCATACATAAATAAATAAATATATATATATATGTGTGTGTGTATATGTATATATATATATAAATATGTGTGCGTGGGTGTTTGTGTATATGCATGGGTTCATATATAAAAACAATATATATATATATGTGTGTGTGTGCAAAATACGCCTACACACATACAGTATGTATATTTAATTCATTAAAATAATAATAAATAAAGGACCGGATAACCCCACAAGTCAAATTCTTCCAATAATCGAAAAAAGTTGTTGAAGCGGCACGGAGAAAGAGGAAAGGACAAAGGAGACGGTGGAGGGTTGATCATTTTAAAAATTGTATGTGAAGAGTTGTGTGTGCCAAAGTTGTGTGTGAAAGAGTTGTGTGTGAAAGGTTGTGAGTGAAAGAGTTGTGAGTGAAAGATTGTCTGTGACAAAGTTGTGTGTGAAAGAGCTGTGTATGACAAAGTTGTTTGTGACAGAGCTGTGTGAAAGATTTGTGTGTGTGTGACAAAGTTGTGTGTGAAAGATTGCGTGTGGGAAAGTTGTGTGTGAAACATTGTCTGTGACAAAGTTGTATAAAGTTCTGTGTGAAAGAGTTGTGTGTGACAAAGTTGTCCGTGACAAAGTTGTGTGTGAAAGAGTTGTGTGTGACAAAGTTGTGTGTGACAAAGATTGTGTGTGTGTGTGACAAAGTTGTGTGACAATGTTGTGGGTGACAAAGTTGCGGGTGACAAAGTTGTGTGTGAGAGAGATGTGCGTGAAAAAGTTGTGTGCGAAAGAGCTGTGTTTGACAAAGTTGTGCGCGATAAAGTTGCATGTGAGAGAGAGATGTGAAAGATTGTGCGTGACAAAGTTGTGTGTGACAAAGTCGTGTTTGAGCGAGATGGACTCACTTGCAGCGTGGATGTCACCAAGTGCCACACCTGCCACGCCAAACGAAGGTCCATGTCGCCAAGTGCCACGCCTGCCACGCAAAACGCAGGTGGATGTCGCCCAGCGCCAGGCCTGCCACGCAAACAGCCGCGGCGCTGTAAGGCGCCAAGCGGGAACCAAGCGCGCCACCAAAGCCAGCCCAGTGCCACGCCTGCCACGCAAAGTGACGATCCATGTCTCTGCGTGGCAGGCGTGGCACTTGGTGACATTCACGTGCACTTTGTGTGGCAGGGGTGGCACTTATGGCACTGGGCTGGCTCTGGTGGCGCGCTTGGGTCCCAGTTGACGCCGTTGTTGCCGCGGCTGTTGGCGTGGCAGGCGTGGCACTTGGCGACATCGATGTGCATTCTGCGTGGCATGCGTGGCACTTGGTGACATGGACGTGCACTTTGCGTGGCAAGCGTGGCATTTGTGGCACTGGGCTGGCTCTGTTGGCGCGCTTGGGTCCCAATTGACGCCGTTGTCGCTGCGGCTGTTTGCGTGGCAGGCGTGGCCCTTGGCGACATCCACCGTCACTTTGCGTGGCAGGCATGGCACTTGGTGACATGGACGTGCACTTTGTGTGGCAGGCGTGGCATTTATGGCACTGGGCTGGCTCTGGTGGCGCGCTTGGGTCCCAGTTGACGCCGTTGTCGCCGCGCCAAACGGGAACCAAGCGCGCCAGCCCAGTGCCATATATGCCACGCTTGCCACGCAAAGTGCACGTCCATGTCACCAAGTGCCACGCATGCCACGCAAAGTGCACGTCCATATCACCAAGTGCCACGCATCCATGTCGCCAAGCGCCACGCCTTGTGTGTGAGCAAGTTGTGTGTGGAGCAGTTGTGTGTGGAGAAGTTGTGTGTGTGAGCAAGTTGTGGTGACATGTTGTGTGTGTGTGGACAAGTTGTGTGTGAGTACAGTAAGTGGTGTGTGAGCAAGTTGTGTGTGGAGAATGTGTGTGTGTGTGAGCAAGTTGTATGTGGAGAAGTTATGTGTAAGTAAGTTGTGTGTGAGCAAGTTGTGTGTGTGAGTAAGTTGTGTGTGTGTGAGCAAGTTGTGTGTGGACAAGTTGTGTGTGTGTGTGAGTAAGTTGTGTGTGGACAAGTTGTGAGTGGACAAGTTGTTAGTGAGTAAGTTGTGTGTGGACAAGTTGTGAGTGGACAAGTTGTTGGTGAGTAAGTTGTGTGTGGACAAGTTGTGCGTGGACAAGTTGTGTGTGGACAAGTTGTGTGTGTGTGTGTGAGTAAGTTGTGTGTGGGTGGCGGGCGGGAGCAGGAGCGGGCAGGCGGAAGTGCACAACCAAAAACAAGAACCCCACACAAAGATGTGGGGAATATAATAATATATTATAATAATAACAAAATAATAATATATAATAAATCACAATAATAATAACAATAATAATAACATATATAGTAATAATATTAAACAGACACGAGTGCATATGTATATGTATTGTTGATGCGTGTTTGTGCGTACATGTTTCTTTCCATAGCCATCCCGAGGGTTCAGCTAAGGCTGAAGGCTGTACGTGCATGTGTAAATGTCTATATAATTATGTAAAACACACGCGCATACAAACGCACACATTACATTATATATATATATACGTGTGTGTGTGCGCGATTTTTTGAGATGCTTTAAATCAGTAATATGTATGGGTGAATCAAACAGTCGGGCTTCTCATTACTACTGAAAGCTAATAATATAGAGATTGTCATTTCCAAGCAGTGAGGTATAAAGATGCTGGAAATCCTTTGGCTAGGTACCATCTGCCTCTCCACTTCCATCCATTTCCATGCATTTCCTGCAAGTGTTCCAGTAACAAGTGGGAGCAATTCTTCTTTCTCTCTCAACGGATCATTCTGCAGCCCCTCACCCAGCGTGACTAATCTATGAGAATCTATGTGTATAGCAACGAAGAAAATTGTTGTTAAAAATGGAAACATAGAAGTAAGATGGAATATGAGAGGGTTTATAAATAACTATCATCGAACTATCCTGGAAGCACGTTTCTATCTTTTGGGGTGATTCTATATATATATATATGTGTGTGTGTGTGTGTGTCCAATCTATGTAGGTCACATGTCTGGATAAATTACAAGCATTTTCCAACCCGAAAAGCTCATCAAAGCTCGGCCATTTGGTATAGTTACCCCAATCCTACCCAGCTTTACAGTGAGATCACGACTTCAGGTTGTCATAACTTATCCAGATAATTACAAATATGGCATATGCTATATGCAAATACCCGATGCAGTTTTGACAATCTGACCTAGTCTATCTACCGGTATTGGCCGTTCGCCGCCAAGCGTCATTGAAGGCTGGCATCTGAAATGGTGTCTTCAAATCATCCGTGCCCTCTCGTTGGGTCGAACACTTGAAGGCAGATGTGCTCATGGAGCCCTCCTCCGCCACCAAGATCACGCCAACGTACGCAGGATACTCAAGGTTGCCTTGAGCGGCGCTATTTTTCGGGGATTTAGCTGAGATCAACTGTGGAGTGTGGGCATAACCCAAATAAACCGACCAGTTACGGATGGTTTGTACCACCCATAAAAATTGTGTTTTTGGGGATGGTGTGATCCAATTGGGTGTACCCCGTAATTCCTTGGGTTTTTACATATCAAAAACCATGGGATGTTCATAGTTCATACCCTCTGGTAAACTAACATAACTATGGAAAATCACCATTTTTAATGGGAAAACTCACTATAAATGACCATTTTCAATAGCTATGTTAAATTACCAGAGGGTACCCCCCATGTTTCGGTGAAATCCAAACACCCGTTCTCAAAGGGGAACCCCGTTGTTCGAACGAAGAACGGACACACATTCCAAAATGTGGGCACCCAATTTTCCCGAAAGTCAAATCCCCAGTCTTGGCAAATGATTCAAGCTTCATACCCTCTGGTAAACTAACATAGCTATTGAAAATAGCCAAACTACATACAATATGTGTATAACTACATACAGTCAAACGACAAACTCATGCCTAACTCATGCCTGGATCCCATCGCAACTCGGCTACCGAGAGACGACCCAAAGCATCTGTCACATTGATGACCTGAAGCGGCCATGGGCTGGTACCCTCGGATTGATCTTAAAGATGCTGGAGGTTTTTGCTGCGAATGATATATATATATATGTGTGTGTGTATACATAGGTCTGGCATGTATCATCATCTATTCGTCATCTATACATTTAACGACTCTGTTCTATACGTTCTATTCATCCTGTGTTTCATCTGGCTGACACAGACGGCCATTCAAGGCACATGAAGCCGCGAAGATGGCCGCTACTATGACGGCCCCCTTCGCCGACTGGATCATCTACAGTTAATTCAAAGCTGATTTGAGAAGAGACACCATGAACTCCATGACCTTGTTGCCTTCCTCAAGATTCACAGCCCTAATCAGCGTACAAGTATATACAAAATATGATATACCCACATATATATATATATACACATATATAAATATAAATATACATATATATATATATTATATAAATATTATATAATATTATATATATCTCATATAAAATCTGGTTGGTATTTTCAACCCCTCTGAACAATATGACTTCGTCAGTTGGGATGATGAAATTCCATTCCCAACATCATGGGAAAGTCATTGAAAAATCTATGGTTCGAGTCACCACCAGCCAGATACGGCGAACATTTTGATCGCCAAGGCACAGAGGCCAACCGACTGTTCACCTGCATCGCCATGAGATCTCCCTGTGTCAACGTCCGCGAGGTCCGGTAGATGCGCACGTTGGTCTCCCCCATGTTGATGCGGCGCACGCCGTTCATGGGCAACACCGGGGAAGAGGTGTCCGGAAACGTCTCCACGCCATTCACATAGAAGTTCTGAGAGCTGGTATGGGAGAAAACTATAGAAAACTGGGGTAAAAGGTGGAAATTAGGGGAGAATCTTCGAGCATTGGTTGTTTAACGAATGGCGCCTCTGAAATTGAAGCTGCAAAAAAAAAGTCAGGAAGCATGTGGCCAAGTCTAATGGAAAGTTCAGCGTGATCATCTATCTAAACCAGTTGAAGGTGATCCAGCCCTTAGCGGCAGCATAGTTGGAGGCGGCAGGCTCTGCAGGCTCTGCAGGCTCTGCAGGCTGACTTCAAGCATGAGGACTTGAGGGGCAGCAAAATGCTTCAGCGGTTTAGTATCTTTTAGTATTGAAACACAGAGACCAGCTGTCCTGGACGGACCCGTAATGGTTGCGAACGGGCCCGGCCCAGAAAGGATGTGGATGGATCAGCTGGGGGGTGTTCAAATCCTGGCCCGACAACATTGACAACATACTGGCAATACAGTTTGTTGATGGCGTAGCGATATGAAACATCTCAGGTGTGTCTAATTCCAAGTTGCAACTTCAATGTAAATGAGTTTCATCGACAAACAATTTCTGACCTTCGAATCCAAAGATATTGAGCGCGCCCTAATGGAATGATGGCTTGCCTTCGAATCTATAAATTGTTCTTCATAGATCTGCTTAAATGGTTTGCTCCACATCACATCGCTGAAATCACATCGCCTACCCAGCATCTCTCAACCACCCAGCACGCAGGAACCAGAGCGAGGGTCCACGTCTGTATCAGCTTGAACCACCAGCACTTCTGCTCTGTACAATGAAGCCTCGCTTGGTCTGGATGCTCGCAGGGGAAAGGATTGAATCCACGTAAACCCCTCCAGAGGGCATACTATGTTGCATAAGTTACCATCTGGTTATTTAACATAGCCATGGAAAATCACTATTAACTATTATTAATGGGTAAACCATCTATAACTGGGCCATTTTCCATGGCTATGTTAAATAACCAGAGGGTACATACTGTTTCTGTATGTTTCTGCACCATTTCTAGGGGCTGTGGTGTGGCTTGGCATTTTGTAACTGGCCACGTCATCCAAGATCCACAAGCCCGCCCCACCTGGTATAGGAAAAGAAGAATGGCTAGGTGAAGGCAATTGGGCGGAGCCCTCATGAAGCAACGGAGGCAACGACCCAAGGCACCAACCCTTGGCCGCAGATCAATCCATCTGGTTTCCAGAGGATTTTTGGGATCTACTTTCGCCGCACGCGCTTCATGTGGCGAAAGTACGCACACTGGGTCTGGGTCATTGAAAAAAGACCCTCTAAGCCAGCTGATGTTTGGGCAGCGACATGCACCAACATTTAAGGTAAAAGGATCACTTTGTGTTATTGAGCTGGTATGGAGTATGGATTCAAAGTAACAATGTTTCTCCACAAGCATTTACTGTCTGTCTCATGTTCTTAGGAAAACCATGGATTTCCATATCCATGGTAATTTATTGTAGGGTGATCCCCCCAAATTTGACAGACAGGCATTGCCCCATCCCCATGTCTGCTAGCTTCCTAGTCTACAGCTGCAGAGCCAAACATCATCATGTTGTGCAACCCCCAACCGGTCACTAATGGCTTGGGATGGTGCCATAATCCCATTCATCAATGTTCATAAGAAAAAGACCCCAATCATTCGTCATAGTCTTGTGATATTGGTTTGGACGTATTCATAAGAACATCTTTAGATTTCACCAAGCCACCAATGTACTGCTCATTGCTCGGTGACACCCAAAAACCTGTGATTTTTCCGAACAACCTCCTGTTGAGGTCCAAAATTCAGTCGCAGTGAATCGACACCTTCGCTGAAATCAGGCTCCAAAATTCTCACCTCTGCCGATACGATTGATCATTTTCCCTCTGGTAAATGTTTACATAACTATGAAAAATCACCATTTTCAATGGGTAAATCCACTCTAAATCACCATTTTCAATAGCTATTTGAAATTACCAGAGGGCAACAGAAATCTTGAGCTTACCGACCCGCTGTTCTCAGATGCAGCGGAATGCAAAACCAACCAACCAGCCCCGGATTCCTGCGATTTTTTGGGGTTTCCCCCGTTGGATCTCCAAAGTTCTTGTGCAGGACACGCGACTCCAAACGATCTCTGGTAAATTGACTTGGGCCACATTAAAGTAACTGAAGGAAGATACGAAAAAAACATGTCTCATACCAAATGAGCTGCAACTAAAACTATGTATTTGTATATATATATATACATATAAACTAAGTTGGATTAAATTAGACAAACAATGATACGTTGCACAACATTATATTACATTGCATTGCATTGCATGACATACATCCATGCATGCATGCAAACATAAATACACTTACAGCAACCGAACAGGCAATTGTCTATCTATCTATCTATCTATCTACCTACCTATCTATCTATCTATCTATCCATCTATCGATCGATCTATCTATCTTCTATCTCTCTCTCCCTCTCTATCTATCTATCTATCTATCTATCTATCTATCTATCTCTCTCTCTCTATCTCTCTCTATCTCTATCTCTATCTCTATCTCTATCTCTATCTCTATCTCTATCTATCCATCCATCCATCCATCCATCTATCTATCTATCTATCCATCCATCCATCCATCTATCTATCTATATGGTGGTAAATTGAAATATTGCACTAACCTGCAACCTGCGGGAATTCGGGAATGATTCCCCTTACATTCACCATCATTCCAGTGAAGTGGTACTGAGGTCTACATATATGTCATATCATATCATATCATATCACATATCCATTGTATCTTCATTAATTAATATCCATTAAAAAGAAAAATGGTGAGTTTTCCCATGAAAAATGGTGGATCTTTCCACATGTAAACGTTTACAAAAAACTATGGAACATCACCATTTTATAGCTGGGTAAATCCACTATAAATCACCATTTTCAATAGCTTTTTCTATGTTTACCAGGGGGTAAACCTCCATTTTCCTATGGTTTTCCCATGGTTTTCCCATGAAAACCTCCATTTTCCGAGGCCCGAAACCATAGAAACCATCAATCTCCGAGGCCCGAACGCAACGAGAAGCCCAGGCCCAAGTCGCCCAAGACTTGCCTTTGTCACCCGGGGCTTTTTGATGAATGGCCAAAAAGGGAGCGGGGAATATTACTAGTGGTATATAGCATATAGGTATATACATATATGGGTATGGATCAATACCTATACATACCATTTTTAGGGGGATGAACATCCATTTACCAGCTATTTTGATGTTCACCAGGGGTACAAGGTTTTGACACACTGCCTTATATATATATATACATTTATTTATTTATAGATACAATATGTGGGCATCATATATCCATAATATACAGTCACATCTATCATATACCTAATATGTGTGATGTATATGACATATATATATATATATATGTGAGATAATTAGGTAGGCATATGTATTACTATTGGATACTATTGGTATATGGTACTATGATGTAATATGAATGCAATTCCAATATATAAAATATTCCAATTAAATTCCAATGCATTAGTATTCCAATGTAATATGAATGTATCATGAATGTATAGCAATGTGGGCCTGTAGTTTTAAGTGCAAGATTGTGCGGAATTATGTTGAAGCATGATATTGGTACATATACATCCGTAAGTCTACACGCATACATGCACAAAGTTGTACTGTAGTTTTATGTGCGTGCACGTGTCAAATTGTTAGGCTGTGGGCTTCAACCTGATTCAACCTGGTCAAGTGGGATATAGTGGGATCATCAGACCAGCTGGACAAACATATTGCGTGTGCGCGCACACACACATTTATATATATATATTATATGATATATAATATGCACACACATGCAAAAGATATGTATGATATGCACATACTCACACATAATGTATATTTTTTTTACAGTTCCACTACGTACTTGAAACACAGGCCAATGGAATTGGCTCTCTCCCGCTGCAATTCCTCCCCCGAAAATCTTCCCCATTTTGCTGACCAGTCGAAGAACATTCTGCCAAGGTGCAGGTAAATTATGAGAGTGCTATAATCAATTGCAATTATTATTTAATGTGATTTAATGTGGTTAAAACAAGAATAAACCACCCATTTGGGAATAGTTTGTACCGCCTATTTATGGTGATGACTGGGGGATTGTTTGCTATTATTTTACCCACGTTAGAAATACTTAGCAAATGAATTTGCCATGCCAGTGATGACCAACAGCCAAGCTTCTCAACAGACTCACAGGCGCGCAAGCACTCCTCGGCCATCTGATTCCTGGCATCAAACACTGGAGAATCCCTCCATTTACCCAACCTGGTTATGACTAACAGTTCGCCATGGTATGGCCCATAGAAATAGATGGTTTACCTATTAAAAATGGTGATTTTCCATGGCAAACTGTTAAATAACCAGAGGGTATGGATGGTGTTTCCTTTTCAATGGCCCTTCGTGGATTTCCCAGCAGTGATGGCCTCTTGGGATGTTCTACTTTTGTCATCTTCCAGGGTGATGTTCTGCTTCCTTGATGCTGAAAAGTAGATCACTTGAGAGTTCAAATCCTGCTGGTTTCTTGATCCGCTTCTGGAAAGTTCAACCCAACTTTGAGCGACAAATACTTGGCATCTGGTGTGAAACCTTCTAATCCTCACTGAGCTAAACATCTTACTATATCTTACTGCATGGCTATATGTTTTTCTCCAAAAAGTGCACCACAAAGTCCCATTGCATCTCCCAATAGGCTTCCAATTGAAATGGCAACGAATTGGGGGGGTCCATGTCTCATCTCTGGCAAACCAAAATATGATAGTGCTGTTTGTTATCACACTAATTACAGCCCAGGTATATCCATATCATATCCCCAAAAACTAAGTATAACTAAGTGATCATGGAGGGTTGAGTTCACCAACTGTTTGAATCTGGTGAAGCTAGCCACAAAAAATGGAGTGTTGCTGGGAGCCACCTTCCGGTGCCATAATCCATCTGCAGAGCTGTCTCCACCACCTTAAGTCGGCCGTGTTAAAAGCATGGCATGGTTCAATAGCTTATCTATACCCTCTGGTTATTTAACATAGCCATGGAAAATGGCCCATTTATAGATGGTTTACCTGGGTTTACCTATTAAAAATTGTTATTTTCTATGGCTATGTTAAATAACCAGAGGGTATTTTTGGGCTCAGGAGCCCTTGTTATGGTTGCTTAATATTGGTTCAGAATCAGAATGATATGAATGATGATTAAGAATGCATATAGTTTAATAATCTCTTTCCACGGTCATTTCAAACACCCCCAAGAAGCAATGGTGGATAAGGGGGATTACATCACATATTAGGGACAATTTCTGGGGTGTTTCATATGAATGGGAGATTGACATTAAATTGATTTGTAATCCACCCTTTGATCTTAATTCAAATGCCCATGTCTGCCAAACAAAATAGGGATTCACCAGGAAAGTGAAGTACATTTTGCTTTGCCACGAAAAATATGTTCAAACTACATCTGCAGAAATTGGAATTTCCTTCAGCCACTATTTAATCCACAACATGGGATCCGTCAACAAAACTGGGGATGCCATCTCACCAGACGATTTTAGAGGCTGGAGATCCTAGCGATATTTCCAGCTGGCCAGTCAAATTATCCAATGCTAAACATCATATAGCCCATTAATGCAATTTCGAACAATTAAACCAGGTACAATCAAGCCATTGATCCGATCTTGATCACTGATACCAAACAAAGGCAGTGACAAATTATGGGTTCCTGACTTCTGTTTAACTACCGTTTAGTACAAGAATCACTGGTTGATGGTAGCAATTTGAATAGTACGGTAATCGGGGATCATCATCCAGTTGGTCTGGCAATCATTTGCCCAAAAAATCCCAGGACAAATCATGTCATTTCCTTTTGAAAATGCCTTGAATGGTGGGCACACCCATTTAAGTCGAACACTACCCATTCTTAATAATTACCAGAGAACGCGTGCGTGCCCAGCCATCTGCCATGGTCACCATGGTCCCTGAGCCCCACGCAGCACGTGCGCGAGAGATGCGAACACAATCCTCAGGTGCAAAAAACCGCCGCAAGGTACCCGAAATGGTCTTCATGGCTGATTATGGATGTATATGATATCATGGATCATAGATGGGGTACCATAAATCATCATAATCATAGATAAATGGATCGTTGTATACTGATTTATGGTAGATATAATAGATGTATAATCATAGATGGGGTATATGATTATGATGATTTATGATGTATATTAAATGTATATTA